AAAAAGCCCAAGCATAATGTGAACAGTCTTTGATGTGAAAAAGCGCTACTAATGTGAGTGTTCTAGTAGTTTACATCGTGGACATTCATTTTGAAAAACCTTGCTTGCCTTTTCAGCTCAGCAATTTGTTAAAGCTTACGCACCTTGATTTGAGTATGAACAACTTTACTACAATCCCTCCGGCTGTGTTGAACATGCCTGCTCTTGAATGGCTCGACATGGGGAGCAACAGACTTGCACAACTTCCTGATACCATTGAAAGGTAAATATATAATATTCTGTGCTATTAACAGATGTGTTGAAGCCATCCATAATAAATAACAAAACAAAGGGGACCCCAAGCATAATCAATCAGAAGAGACCCATGTAGTACTAAATATGCTACTTTTTAACAATATTTTCATTTACTTAAGTATAAGGGGTTTGGGAGAGAAAAACTGGCTCTGACTTCAACATGTTGACACAAATATGCCACACAGTAACAACATGACTTTGTGCATGCCAGGCCCTCTGTGGGCTTTACAAATGGATGAAAACTAATGTAGAGATGTAAATTGCTCAAGATCACAGTGTAAGTGTGAACCTAGGCAGCCTGGCCCACAGTCCATGCTGTTAACCATTATGCATACTTGTCTTACCCAAACAGGCATATTCATAATTTCTGATTTTTCTCTTAACACTCTAGTTCAGACTAGATAACATTTATAGCTGTTCTTTAAGAAATCCTATGAGAATAGTGAAGAATTCTAAAATATGTTGGTTTCCTTTCTACAACCACATGCTGAGAAGTGTACTGTAGGGATTAACCCTCCAATGCAGTTTCCCTAATAATCAGGTAACATGAAGTCAGTTAACTCAACTGGTACGCTAGTTAAAGGAGATGTTATGAAAGATGACATTTGTTTCAGTTTAGGTTAATAAGAACCAGGGTTTTCATATTACATATGATTAATCGCAGAAACCTCTTTTAATTCATCAGAATGCAGAGTCTACATACATTATGGCTGCAACGGAATGAAATAACATGCTTGCCAGAAACAATCAGCAATATGAAAAATCTGGGTACTCTTGTTCTCAGCAAAAATAAACTGCAAGATATTCCAGCGTGCATGGAAGAGATGACTAATCTGAGGTAAAAGTTGTAGACACAAAACTGACATGTTCCTTTCTGGCTGCAGAACAAGGTAATATAGAGAAATTGTTATTAATGGATTTGAGTTCTCATTCATATGAATGAATATATTTAAAAAATTTTCCAACTTTGCAATTCTATAATTTATAAGTAGGATTCACATAATACTGGCCAAAATTATTCAAGAAAGAATTCTTGAAACAAAAGCCATACTGGGACTATGGGCTTTCAGGAATGCCCTCAGTTCGTGACATTTTTATGAAAATCGTCTTTGGAACTGCTAACAAATCTCATCTACAAATAAAAACCAAAGGCATAAAAATAGTGCTTATTTTCCTTCTAAATGACTACAGTGGACACAGGCAATTATGTTACAGATAGAATAAATACAACTTTTTACTAAGTTAATTACTCTCAGAACTCCCTCAAGTGTCTTCCTTCCAAAATTTAATTTCCTGACAGAAAACGTTTAAGAGAATTCACATCAGATCCCACAACTTCCATAACAAAATCATTCATTCACCTATTCAGCAACTGCTGAGTCCTGTACTCGATGAAGATACAGTGATGTATAAGACACAAGTCTATAAAATATGCAGAAACTTCACCATATTAAATACATGCTAGGGATTAATAGTTGCTTCTATAAGCTTTGAAAATGAGTTGTCTAAAGCTAGTGGTTTTTTTCTTCTGGAAAAGAAACTTAAAAGATTCTTAGGATTTATCACATTTCACCAAAATGTTATTGAAACCAGTTTAAAAAAAAGTAACTTAGTGTATTATCATTTTATTTTTCCTCAGAGAAATAAATGTACACTTCTATGGCATCTATAAAAATACTGTTTTTTGGTGAACTGCTAGGTTTGTCAACTTCAGAGACAACCCACTGAAATTGGAAGTAACACTTCCTCCCAGTGAAAGCATAGATGAAGAAGAGGAACAGGAATTATTTGGCCTTCAGTTTATGCACGTATATATACAGGAGTCCCGGAGAAGAGCAGGTATGGCATTTTTATATAACACATGTCAAATATTTGGGAGAGGAATGTGTGTATATGTGTATCTATATATATATAGATTCCTTTATAGATTTCTCATTCCATCTTATCTTTTCTGTCAAATTTTGCCTTTTGGTCAATATTGTTGGAGGAAAAAAGAGTGAAATTCTAATCTGTTCACAATTTTGATAAAGACTTGGAGAGAATTTGTAAACATATTGAAAGTTTTTCAAGTGGTGGCAGGAAATAAATTTCTTTGTCCAAGTACCTGAAGCACAACCAAGTGAAGGAAGATGTGATTTTTTTTAAGATTTCATTTATTCATTTGAGAGAGAGCGAGCACAAGCTGGGGGCTGTGGGGGGGGCGGAGAGGGAAAGGGAGAAGCAGACTCCCTGCTGAGCAGGGAGCCTGACGTGGGGCTCAATCGCAAGACCTTGAGATCATGACCTGAGCCGAAGGCAGACACTTAACAATCTGAGCCACCCAGGTGCCCCTGAAGATGTGATTCTTAAAGCTTCACTACCTCATTCTATCAGTCTGTCATATATTTCAGTGTACTCATGAACACTACCTTCCCTGTCATTTCCTCTTTTTCTATAATCCACAAATAGCAACACAGTATTTTGCCTAGGAATGAAAAATATTAAGAGAACACAGATTTTTAACCAATAGTTAAAATGTGAGGTTTTGATATATAGATTTCAATCACTCAGTCTCTGCTAATTAAGAATTAAACCACTTTTTCACTAAAGGAAAGCCTTTAACTTAAACCAAGATTATAAGAGGCCAAAGAGACAATTCTATTAAGAAAAACAATGAAACAGGGCGCCTGGGTGGCTCAGATGGTTAAGCGTCTGCCTTCGGCTCAGATTATGATCCCAGGGTCCTGGGATCGAGTCCTGCATCGGGCTCCCTGCTCAGCTGGGAGCCTGCTTCTCCCTCTCCCTCTGCTGCTCCTCCTGCTCATGCTCTCTCTCTTTCTCAAATAAATAAAATCTTAAAAAAAAAAAAGTTAATTTCACTTTAATATTAAAAAAACAATGAAACAATAGTACAGTAATAGAAATCATTTTATAATGCACTAAACATGAAGAGTTTTTGAATCAAAAGGTCAGATTTAATTTATCTTCTAAGATAGGTGCTCTGGAGAATGAGTATAATCCAAGCAAACAAATGACAGTGTTTTAGCTAGAAGAAATCATTTTTACCAACATCCAGTGGCAGATATTAGGAAATGGTCATCTAATCTGTGGTAGCAAGTCACAGAAACAATAGCATGGAAAATAGATTGGGAGGACGACAAGTAAAAGTTTGGGGCCTAGTTTGGGGTAAAAAATACATAAAAAACAGGTAGTAGATAGAATTGGTGATTGAATGATGGGAAATGAGAGGACTCCAAGATTATTCTGTTTTTGGTTAAAGCAACCAGATGGATGGTGATGCTGAGATGAGGTGGTAAAAGTGGAAGATGAGGAAATTTGACATAGTTGTGGGACATGTGGGAAGAGGTAGTTGTGTAGGTGAATTTGAAAGTTCAAGAAGGGGTTTGCTGGCCCCGTAAATTTGGCAGGTCAAGGAAGAGCAATATACATATCTCACATAGTTGCTTTCTTATGATATCTTAAGGGAAGTAAACAAGGTTGGGGAAAACAAGAATCTTGACCTATAGCTTGTTGAAGGATAAGCTTATCCGCCCATAAAATACTTGGTACCATTGTCAGAAACATCATGAAGCTAAATGGGCACAGGACTATTACCAGTATAACTACTACGTGTATGTGTATGTTTTGTGAAACATAGTTGAGATTATGCCTGTTGTAGAATATTTTTTATTCCTGGGCATAAATTGTTGAATGATGCAAAATAGATTGTATGACACCAATTAGCATTGCCTGACCCAGTAAAATCACGGAAATTATTGAATGATGTATATTACCCTTTATTTATGTTCTCTTGATTGGGCAGCCTGAGTAATTAACTTTAGAAATAATCAAACTACCTTACTTTAATAATATTTGACATGGAACTTATAAAAAGAGAAAAAAGGTTACAACTTAAGCAGAGATAATTAAACCAAGTTTACCTATTGTCATTAAAAATAGATTTGTGAATTAGTATTATTAACGTATTTATTGAGTACTTACACTGTGCTTGGAGCTGTTTTAAACATTTTACATGTGTTATCTTATTTGTTACAAAACCTTGTGAGGTAGGTAGTATTATTATTATCTTCATCATCCTCATTTTAAAAAGGGAAATTGAGGCACAAAGAGATTAAGTAGTGGCCCAAGGTCATACACTGAGGTGGTAGTGCAGGATCTGAACCTACGCAGTCTCATAAAACATAGGAGATTAAAGCAGAAAAGCAGGAATTAAAAATGGGCTAGGCTTCTATTTTATAATTCATGTACTCATAGATCTATTTATAGGATAAAAAAGTTACCTAAGACTATCATTATAGTACCTAAAATTATTAATTCTGATCTTTGTCTTGGCAAAGGTACCAATGATTAAGACAATTTTTACAAATAAAGACAGAAATAAATGAAGGATAACATGAAGACAGTAACAGTCCTTACCATATGTTTGGATTAATATTTGCTTGTGCATAGAAACTGCTTATGAGTTAACTAAGGCCTAAGTGTGAGGTGGTTTTGGTTTCATTATCTAATTTCCATTTTATTCCAAATTATTTTCTCAAACAGGAGAGAATATACTTATAGTTGTGCTTATATGTACAAAATGTCCTTTTAAAAGATATGATACCTAATTAACTTCAGAAGTTAATTGCAAATTTCAATTTAATTTGTGAATGAGGCTTATAAGTTATCTTTTTGGAAGTTCTAACTAGATAATTATTCAATTAAAAAAATGAAGTGAAACAGTTCATTTCCCTTGAAAACTATCTCTTCACTTTTGCCGTTTGTCATGGATAAATTCAGAAATACATAAATACATGTATGGCTCTGGAAATCTGAAGGTGAATTCATTAATTGATTATGTACATCTCTGAATTTCTTTGCATTAGGAAAAACAAATCACAATACATTATCCTTTCCAGATTGGAATGGACAAAAAAAATCCATATATAAGCCAAGTTCTCAGACTTGCCTTTGTTACAAATGGACAATTGATCATACATCTTGAACTTGAGAAGTAAAAAGTACTAAATAAAACCAAAGGAAAATAAATTTCCAAAATTAATACAAATAAGAAAGCTAATGTGCTAGTTGTGTATTGTGTTATGTGTGTTTCAGATAACCAAGTCAACTGTTCAGCTACTTTACCAATCTCTATAAATACTGATGGATAATATAACTCAAGATGCCCTGCTGAAGAGAATTACTTGGAGAATTTGGTGAATTTGCTAACATTTGAATTTCTAAGTAAAAAACAAAACTATAACTAAAGTTCAATGAGGCCACAACATTTTTTAAAGTTCATATCTCTGCTACGTAAAGTATATTTCATGAATATAAAAATACAATTAAAAAAATTTTTTTTTGGTGGAAGACAGATGTTCACAATTTCTTTTCCATTAAGCAGTTGTTTCTGGTGATGAAGAATGATTTGGTAAAGCAGTTAACAATACATTTTCCAAAGATACCAGAGGATCTGTATAATACTGTAAAGCAGGACTGAATCCTTTCTGCTGTAAATACGCGACTCGGCCTTGGTCAATCAGCAATTTACAAAGATGCCCTATTTTCTTCTTTTCTTCAACAGTAAGGAACCTAAACCGAATATACACAAAACATCGTTAAAATTTGTAAAAGTTTACGAAAAATCATTTTAGTCACTTCTATTTATTGATAAGTTCCTAAGTAACCTGCAATATACTAGGTGCTATGTCCCATGCTTCCAAGATATGTTTTATTTTTGCCACAATAAAAGTATATTTCAATGTATTCTAAAATTGGATGGTAAAATGCACGTTCATGGACAGATTTTTGGGGACATTTATCTAAAAAGAAAGTCCAGCAATAACAAAACATTTCTGCCCCGGTGTCGTGGATTTCCAAGTAGTCACTTACCCAGGGACTCTCTCGGTGCTTTCGTCTGTGATTATGCATCCCCCGTCATCATGTTCTTCACTGTCATCATTCTGCTTATCTTTTCTCTTTGTGGTAAGATTGGAGGCTTCCAAAGATGTGTTTCGCATCCCACAAGTCGCCCAACTACTCATTCGCTGGAAGTAGTGGAATTCCACTGCTCCAAGGCCTAGAGCCCTGAAATACTCTTTGCCCACATAATGTCTCCAATCACACCTGTGGTGACAACAGAGTGCAATAACAATGCCAGCCACAGGGCTCCACTTCTCTGGGACATTTTTCTCATTTCCTTCCTTGGCCAAAGTGTTAATTTCTTTTTCTGTTTTATCATTCTTTATGCGTTTGGCTAAAGGTTCTTCATTCCTTTCCTCACAACTGGCAGCATAGGTTTCAACCAAACATCGTAATGCAAGATCTGCAAACACAATTATGTGGCCCCCCCAAACCACATCATCTTTAAAAATAAGTATTTTTTTACATTTATTCAGCAGTATGGTTTCTAAAATCCCAACAACAAAAACCTGCTTAGCTTTATACTTGTAATAATTCTTCCATGAATTATCAATTTTGTTCATATTTGCTGTTTTCTCATTAGCATCTCATTTTCTCTAATGATTTATTCTACTTCCCCAAACAACTGGCTGAAGCTTAAGGTCTACAGTCTGTAAAAACTTTAGTCCAACTACTCAACTTGGCTCTAGCTACTCCTACTCTAGCTGAGGAAAGGGCTTGTATAGAAAAAAAATCATTGATTTACACTTACATCCCAGGGAAGTTTTGAGTTTAAGAAACCCAAAGAAAGAATAGAGGGGAAAGGCATCTGCTTAGCATCTGCTTAGATTGTTAGGTGTCAGTCCTGAAACATATGATGTTCACAGCAAATCCTGATGAGCTGAAGAGTTGATAAGAGGGAGTCATTCTGTGGAAAGTAGGCCTCACTGAGCAGGCTTACAGTATTTATGCATTCATTCAGCAATTAGTTACTGAATGCCTTTCACGTGGAAGCTTTGCAAATGTAACGATGATTATACACATAAACTTCGAGGTGGATGTACTCCACATTAAAAAGAAAAATTTAAACTTAAAAGCTAAACAAGTAGATTTTTTGATGACTGTGATTATTTCCCAGTGAAGACTGCTCTATGGTTGACAATATTTGTAAGGCCCCAAATATATACTGTAAAAACAGTTATTTCCTGTCTGATTAGACCAGCATGCTGTGCCTAGTCAATCAAAAACATATATATTTTAAAATTTTATTACCCTAAGATGTCACCAGTGACTATTAAATGACTTAATATTTCACTAGTAAATTTAATTCAATATATGAGTTGAAGTCAATAAACACTGGGAGAAAGGGATAGCTAATCTATTATTTCATAAGCTATTGTTTTTTGACAAAATATATTCAGTCAGTTTTATTTATATTTGACTTAAGTAAATGATTTTCAGAAACGTGAATAACCAGAAAAATCATTAAAAGAATGAAGTAATTTTAGAATCAGAAGGAGCTTTAACAATCTATTTTAACCACTCCTTTACAAAGAACTTAAAGGACAACATGACATACCAAAGAAAGGGACCAGGAAACACAGCAAATTGGTGGTCAAGATCATTCATTCATTCACTCAAATGCTTACTGTTTCTATTATATGCACACTCCCCTGTGCTCAACAAATTCACAGCAAAGTGGGAGAATTAGAATTATATAATAAAAAAATAATTAAAATACCGTAAGGTAAAGCTATGCGGATGGAATTATGATAAACACTAAGAAAATTAGAAACTGACAGAGTATAGTACATGGGAAGAGTACACAGGGGTTCAGTTTGCTGACCAAAAGAGCTGCAGGCAGGAAGCAGCAAAGGCTGGAAGGCACAGGCCAGACTGACAGCCAGTCCTCCTGGTAAAGAGCTTGGACTTTACGCTGTAAGTATTAGGAACTACTGCAAAGTTTTAAAGGGAAAGACATATTAGGTGTGTAGCCAAGGGGTCTAAATATTAGTAATTAAAGAACAGGTAGTGGAAGGAGACCATGAGAGAAAGAAGGGCATAGATGTAGGAGAAGAACCCAGAAAGAAAATGTCACAATAGAGAAGGAAACTGAATTTCAAGAAGGGCAAGCAACTGGAGTTCCTGGCTGGCTCAAGCTGAAGAGCGTGTGACTCTTGACCTCGGGGTCCTGAGTTCAAGCCCCACTTTGGGCGTACAGGTTACTTAATTAAAAAAAAAAGACAAAAAAAGGGGGGCAAGCAACTGCAGCAGAGATTTTTCGGTAAGATAACAATAGAGTGATGAAGGGAGAATTCACACAGTGAATCAAGAGGGGAAAGTGTGTGGAACAATGAAAAATGGCCAATATAGGTTATACTTCTGAGAAACTTGAGTCAGATAGGTAAGAGTAAATGAGTGTGCTTTTTTCCCCTCCCCAGGACAGAACTGGCTTATGCCAGAAGGCTCTTATGAGGGTCAAATGAGATAAGGTGCATGAATGTCATCTTAAAAACTATGAAGGACAACATAAATATACAATACTCAAAGCCATTTCCCAGCCAAATTGAATAATGTCTATGGAGGCTCCGAGTTCCCTGTATGGGAGATGATGAAACCAACAGGAGCCAGGAAGATGTAACAATAGTTAACATTCACTGTGCACTAATATGTGCCAGACACTTACATGTAACCTGGTAAATTATATGTTATCCCTGTTTTACAGATGAAATAACCAAAGCTCAGAAAGGTTAAGTAATTTGCCAAGGTTACACAGCACAGCTGAATTCTGGACTATCCAATTTCAAAGCCCATGCTCTTTCTACCTTACCACGCTACACCTGACAGATGGATGTGCTAAGATAAGACATCTTAGGTTTTTTTTTTTTTTAAAGATTTTTTATTTATTTATTTGACAGAGAGAGACACAGCTAGAGAGGGAGCCCGATGTGGGGCTCGATCCCAGGACCCCGGGATCATGACCTGAGCCAAAGGCAGACGCTTAACGACTGAGCCACCCAGGCGCCCCCATCTTAGGTTTTTTTTATCTGACATTTCTTTTTTCATTTTCCTCAGAATCCTGGTACATAATCATCTTCTAGTGGGAGAGGTTTCAGAGTCCTTCCCATGCAACTTCTTGAAAAAATCAGTAGCTTCTGGGGTAAAATCATAGTTTCCATACAGGATTTGTTTCCTTTTTTTTTTTTTTTTTTTTTTTAAAGATTTTATTTATTTATTCATGAGAGACAGAGACAGAGAGAGAGAGAGAGGCAGAGGGAGAAGCAGGCTCCCAAGGAGCAGGGAGCCCGATGCGGGACTCGATCCCAGGACCCTGGGATCATGACCCGAGCCGAAGGCAGACGCTTAACCATCTGAGCCACCCAGGCACCCGGATTTGTTTCCTTTTTGGTTGAAATATAACCCAAAAGCTTTTAGTCTCGTATGACTCAGTATTTACACATAACACTCTTCTTTTTTTTTTTTTAAGATTTTATCTATTTACTTGAGAGAGAGAATGAGAGAGAGAGCACGAGATGGGGGAGGGTCAGAGGGAGCAGCAGACTCCCTGCTGAGCAGGGAGCCCAATGTGGGACTCGATCCTGGGACTCTAGGACCATGACCTGAGCCGAAGGCAGTCGCTTAACCAACTGAGCCACCCAGGCACCCCTACACATAACACTCTTAATTCATCCTGCAAAATGGCCAAAATAAGCAGATAAATAAAAAACTATATATCTGATCTAACACAGGGCCAGTGCTATGATGAAGATTAATCAGTTGTAAGCATAGATGACATAAACTACTCGAGACTATTTCAAAGATTGGGACCATGTTAAGCTAAAACTTAATGTGTTCATCTAGACATTATTAGTATGTTTACGTACCTGTTGCCACACCACACAGATGCTTTCCAATTCCTACCACAGGTAGTTTTTCTTTGCTTAGCAAAGGAATCTTATCTGAAATAAAAGGAAATGAGAACCGAGTTAGCTCTCCTGTGAGATAAGACATTAACAAAAAGACAGAACTAATTTAAATCTTTGAATTTAAGGGCCGAGAGAAACTAAAACAAAAACTTCTCACTTTATAGCTGCAGAATAAGAGACTCACAGATGTAGTGACCTGATAAGCAACACAGAGGGCTGCTGACCAACCAGAATTAAAATTAATGTTTCTTCTTTTTTTCCCTTTTCTTTCCCTCTCGCCCCTAGGGGGGCCTCTCTTTCTGAGTTAAAGTTTCTTGACTCTTAGGCCAATGTTCTTTCTTCTATTCTGACTCAGGACTTCCCCCTGTATAAGCCTTATTCTGCTAAATATTATTAACTCATTGATAAAAGAACTCAAAGCTTTCCCTGCTAGAAGATTTATTTTGAACAAATAATACATATGATAAACATATATTAATAACATAATCAATATATATTATAAAATACTATATTCAGTATTACAATTAACTATAGTTTTTTCTGTATCTTGATATTCAAAAATAAGATATTATCTTAGCTTTTCACAATGTTTTAAAAAAAGAAGATTCATAACAGTCCTGAAAAGGTAAAAAAAAAAAAAGGTCCACAAGGTAATGCAGTAGATGTATTATATCACAGTTATGGCCTCCATCCCACCCTTATTTATTTTCTTTTTTGTAAGATTCTGAAATGAAAAGTATGCTTTCTCCTACAAATCCAGCTACAGCATCTAGCACAGTGAATGGAAGTACTTAGTAATTATTTCAACTTTTCTGTTGCTTGCTTTCAAATGTTAGTATATTACATGCCAGGAGAAAATGGAACCAAGTGGAATAGTTTGCCTGTGTCAGGGAATATAGAAGTTTAAATTAAGGTGGTTCAAGAAACTCACCATCAATTAGGGTGAAGGGAAAGGATGTCTAAGAAAGCCCTTCTGCTTTTATGCTTGAAAATTACCTCATTTCCTCTCTCCTTTTTCTTTGGGCTTAGAAAATAGAGCAGAGGAACTTCTGGGAAATGATCGTAGATTAAATGCAAATATCTAGTTTACTCCCTCCTAAAACTCCACCAAGATGAGGATAGAAGGATTTTTAAAAAGGTATAAACTCACAAGATCTGAGAGAGGACAAAAGGAAACAAAAGTGGGAAAGGCTGTGACTCAACCAAATTTATTCCACAAATCTTCAAAAGGCTCAAGAACTGGGGGGATCAGGTACCTTGGCAGTAGAACTGAGTAGCTACAATAGAGAGTACTGGTGGAAAGTCTGTTTAAGTAGTCAGATCCCCACCTTGATGACTACCTCTTTCCCACGTGGTGGAAGACTAGACTAATTCTCTGGAGCAAGTAGAACAGGAGGACAGTGGAATGAGGGACAACAGGAAGTTGAAAGTTGAAGTATGGTAAAATAGCAGGAGTCAGTGAGTGTGCATACTAATTTCCCTAGCTTTTGTTCCCCACTGGGTCCGGGTCCCAAGATGTTGGTAATCAGACCTTTACTCTCTAGGTAGGCGATCAGAAGAGCCTTCTCTGTGGAATCTGATCTGCCCAAGAGGAAAGATCACATCTTATGCAGATCACCCTAAAGTGGAGCTCAGAGTCAACAACTCCACCTAAGGACTCAGAGCTCTGAGTCCCTCAATCCTAAGAACACACCATCAAGGAGCACCAGATGTTTGAGGACAGCCTCTAAGTCAAGAGACCAAAACAAATGGAAAAGAACAAATAGGTGAAAACAGATTATGAAGGTAGAATAATTCTAAAAAACCATTATTAATATCCTCAGAAAGATACTATAATTATAAAAAAGAACAAGATACAACCATAAAGGTAAATTCAGAGAAAAACATCTTAGAAATTAAAACTATGAGAGAAGAAATTAAGTTGGGGAAATTTTAGAAAGTATAGAAAAAAGACCAAAAGATGTAACACAGAGAAGTCAAGAGAAGTAGAAAACCATCCCAGTAGGTCTAATAACTAAATCATAAGAAATCTTCCAGAAAAGAGCAGAGAAAGTGGAACAGAGAAAATTATGAAAGAAAGAATGCAAGGCAATTTCCCAGAAAGCTGAGAACACTAGAATCTCTAAATCAGGATTTCTCACCCTTGGTATTATTGACTTTTTCGCCCCAATAATTTTGTTGTGGGGAGCTCTACTGTACCGTATAGGATCTTTAGCAGGCCTCTGGTCTAGCAAGCTCTCTGGCTTGTACCCAATAGACGCCAGCAGCATGCCCCCTGCTATGACAACCAAAAATGTCTCAGACATTGCCAATGTGCCCTGGGGGACAAAGTGGCCTCCACGGAAAACCACTGCTATAAATGAGTCAGGCAAAATGGGTAAAAATATAACCATATGAAGGCATATCACTGAAAATTTAAAACACTAAGGACAAAGCCCCTATACATTTCAAGAAAAAAGCAGATCCAGTACAAGGGATCAAGATTCAGAATAGCACTGAACTTTTAAACAATACTAGTGGAATAGAACTTTCAGAATTCTAAAGGAAAATGATTTTCAACCTAGAAATACAAATACCCAGTCAAGTCAAGTGTAAAATAAAAGATGTTTTTGGATGATGCAAGGTCTCAAATTTATCTGTAATGCGTTGTTTCTTAGGAAGCTAGAGGACTAAGTGTTCTGCCCAAAGAGAGTATAACAATAGAGGAAGATATGGGAAAAGATGTGGAAAAAGAAATTCCCACTCAGGCGAATGAAGGAAATCCCCAGGATGAGACTGAAGAGAGTTTTATGTTGATCACTGTGCCCCAGGAACATGTCTGAAGCATACTGGGGAGAAGTCCAGTCTTGACTGGAACATGTCTGAAGCATACAGGGAGAATTTTTCAGGAAGACAGAAACTAACAGAATACTTGATGAATGTGTTACGACAAATACATTTTTAAAAGACCAAGTAAATAAAATTATAAATTATTAATTTAGCAAACAAAAAATTATACAGGAAAAAGTAATTTACTACATGGTCCAGTGATCAAAAATGATGATTTAATCATTTAATACATATTAGAAAGATGAGGAATGGGAAGTGTCTGCACTCGAGGCGGGGCAGGGGTAGAAAATCTTCATCTTCCATTGGGAAAAACCAGTAGATAATGCTTGGGGAGAAAAAGGGGGGGAGCAAAAACAAAAGCCTGTTTTAGATACTTCAGATAAATATAAAAATTCACCTACAAGAGGTAAATGTGGTTGGCTCTGAAGAGAGAAACATGGCAGGGAGGAAGTGGCTGGTGCTGTTTTTAAAACAACTTGAGAACCTGTAGAATTATTTGACTCTTAAACACACAAATCTAACTTTAATAAAAGCCCAAAAAAGAAAAACAAAAAACAAGGAAAAAAGAAAGGGGATGGGGATGTCTGCAGTAAACTCATTCAACAGATACTTCCTATTCTTTCTCAACCCCTAAAATGATGAGTAGTCAATTCTAACCCTGCCACCCAGAAAGGAAGAGAAGTCCTTTAAATAAATGTCACCGTCTCCTCATTTCAAAACTACCTTTATGCACTCTCAGTATGTCATTAAGTAAGTCTTTTATTTTAAATATTAAGAAAAAACTGAGGTATGGATGTCAGGAGATTAAAATTCACATTTTCACTGGGGCTATATTTTTAGTTAGTCACTGCTTAGCAGGAAAAGATTTTCCAATTAATGTAAATTCCAAAAGGGCAGTATTGAACTAGATTGTAGATATTTGCTCCTTTCTCTCTTATTTTGGTTTAAAAATATGGAATGGGGGCACATGGTGGGCACAGAAGAGTGATCTAGAAACTATTTAATAAATATGGTAAGCTACTTTTCAGTATGCTTAATAAGAATTCAACACAAACCATAAAAATGTGTCTAGGATTTTCAATGTCGGAGAAGTAATATTAGTTTTTTTTTTTTAAAGATTTTATTTATTTATTTGACAGAGAGAGAGATCACAAGCAAGCAGACAGGCAGGCAGGCAGAGGGAGAAGGAGAAGTAGGCTCCCTGCTGAGCAGGGAGCCCAATGTGGTGCTCGATCCCAGGACTCTGAGACCATGACCTGAGCCGAAGGCAGCCACTTAACTGACTGAGCCACCCAGGCGCCCCCTCAGTTAAATAGTTTTAAATACAGCAATATATATATAATATAAATGCTGGGTTGCTTCACAAAGCTGTATTAATTAGTGGATGGAAGTTACTAGGATATGTTTGTATTAATATGAAAAACTATAAAAAGGTACAGAAAAGGCACAAAGAGTATGATTGAAGGGGGTGTGTGTGTATGAAATGCGACTTCCACAGAGATGAATTATATTGGTACAGTTTAAAATTCTAGGAAGTATGTTTTACCATCAGCTGGACAAAGAACTATCTCATTTCTTTAACAGTTTAGGTAAAGTCATGTTAATTATAGGCAGAAGGCCCTAGCCTTTTTGGGGTGGGGGGAGAAGGAGAGGGAGAGAGAGAATCTTAAGCAGGCTCCATGTTTAACATGGAGCCTGAAGCCAGGGCTCAATCTCACAACCCTGAGATCATGATAAAAGTCGAAATCAAGAGTTGGACACTCAACTAACTGAGTCACCCAGGCACCCCTGAACAGACTCATAATTAAAAAGGACAAAGAAATAATGTAGGGACATATTATCGAAACTTTTAAACTCTTTCCTAATATGACACTTCATTTCTAATTGATACTGAAACCTCATTTTTAAAAAGTTCCAACCCTAATTCAATTTACACTTAATCAGATGTTAGATATAACATTCTATATTAACAATGCATTAATTTTAATTTGTTTTCCCAGAAGCATTGGTCTGCATGACTGGGTTTCTAAGCAACCCTCAGAATTTGAAACTTCTATGATTTATGATAGGGCAACCGAAAGTTATACAACTTACTCAAACACAAGTGTTGAATATCAATTTGAAGTCTCTCAAATACTGAATTTTTCTTTCTGTGTTTGCCATCTACCTGCACAAACAGAACACTGTCATAACAATAGTTTTTTATGTTTACTTTATGAAATTAAAAAAAGATTTCTATTTGTTTTCAAAATTCAGAGGAAATAATTTCCCATCTTATTTTTTAATACTTAAAAAACAGAATCACTAGTTAAAAAATTTAAGATTGTATATTCTTTGATGAAAACTCCAAAATAACAATATCATACATTTTTAAAAGGCTTGAAAATTTTATAAATTATTATGTATAATTATTTCCTTTAACTCTAAAACTTCCCAATCCACTCATGAAGGAACTAAGGTTCACAGATGTTAAGTGACTAACCTAAGATTATTTGCCAGCTCCTTTGCCTTTGTTAGCCCCTAATATACTATTTTTGGTACATTCTATCATCTTCTTACTCTCTCTGAAAGATCACAACCACCATTCTATGTCCACATGCCTTTGACTTATAAACCGACACTGTGGCCCAGATATTTTTGATGAGCACCAGACACATAACTAGCTGTGAACTAGAAAGCTCTACTTCAACTGCAAACTCATTCAAAACTGAACTCATCATTGCTCCCCCCAAAACTATTCTTCCTCTTCCTCCTTCTATATTCCCTATCTCAGATAAAATGTACCACCAGTCACTTAAAGCCATAAAGCGTCACCTGAAATAACTCCTCTCTCATTCTTAATGACTAATAAATCACCGAGCCTCCTTGCTTCCAAAATCTTAGTGTTTCTCATACTCTTTCCCTCCTCTCCATCCCCACTGCAACAGCCTTAGCTCTGGCCCATTTCTTACGTGGATTACTGGATAATAATTATCTTGTTATTAATTTCCCTACTTTAAGTTTCAGACTCCCCTGATAGAGCTTTAATGGTACTGCGAGGACGAACTTTTCAAAAGCCTTTTGATTTTCTTCAGTAACTCTTACATATTTTTTCAATCTCCTCTCAGCTGTCACTTCCTCCAGGAAACCTTCCCTGGCCCACACTACACTGAAGTTGGTGTTCTATCTTCATGCTCCTATGGCTTCTGGTACTTACCATTCTCATAAGAGACTTAGCATACTGAACCAAAATACTTGTAAGTCTGCACCACTAGGCATAAGCTTCTCAAAGACAAGAACTAAATCTTGGTCCATGGAATCCCCAGCATGTAGCAGGATAAAGTCAAACTCCTTCCCTTGGCATGAAACAGGACATCTTCCAGTCTAGCCATGCTCTCCCATCTCCTCACCACTGAACTCTACTTGGGACCACGCATTCCCATCACACAGAAGTGTTTCCATGTTTCCCCGTTGTTTCAGGTATTTGGTTACACTGTTCCTCAAACCCTCTATCTAGGAAACACCAGTTCTCCTTTCAAGATAGAACTCAGGCATCACCTTTTCGATGTAGCCATTTGCATCCTTTCCCTGCAATAAAATATGTCACTCCCTCTTTTGAAACCATACTGTACTCTGTGCAGATTTTTTTCATACTTTGATACTTTTCTATAATCATTAATTTGTCTGTCTCTCCTTTCTAAATATCAGTAATAGAGCATAGGGACCTTGTCTTGACTTTATCTACCCAATGTCTGTCATGGTACCTAATGGTACGCTCAATAAATATTTACTGAATGAATAGTTAGTAGGTGGCACAGGCAGGTTAGAACCCAAGACTTTTAACTCCCAGCTTGAGCTTGGCCCTTTCCACATATTTTATTGTCTCTGCAAATAATTTTAAGAACTCAGCTCAATGGACTATTAAAATTTAGATTAAAAAATTTATCTTCAGTTTAAGTTATCTATATAATTAGAATAAAAAGAATAAAAAGCCATATCAAATCAACACCAAAAAATAATTTTCTTTAAGAGACATGTTTCTGAGTATCATTCTTTTTTTTAACAAGAAAAGTGCAAACAAAGGTTGGTTACTAATATACTGCCATGATTTCACTTACCTTGAATCTTGTGGTCACCTTTTCTACTAGGATGAAGTGAACTTTTTCAGCATCTTTTAAGGCAATATCAACCCAATGAGATAATTTTCCCTTTCCTGCTCCAAATTCAACAAAGCATCTTCTTGGACCAAGTAACTTTAATTTTTCAATGTTACCTAAAATAGAAGCCTGCAAACTTCACAAGATTATTTTATAAACTAGAGCAAACACATTTATTGGCTTGAATGGGAAAATAGCAAGGTAATTTCTACAAAAGGCAGCATGTGCACATTGATAATTTTTGTTTGGCTTTAAATTTTTTCCCTTGCTTGGAAATTTCTAACACACAATACTCAGAACCATATCCATGCCAAAAGTTTTTAATATACGTTTACACATACTTTTTGAAATGGAAAGATTCTGTTCCCTATAAGATAAACTAAACAAAATCTCACTAAGAACTATATTTAGAAAGAATGTTAGCTTTTGACAAATGAAAAAAGGGCAATTTTAGTATAGTTACTATGGCCTAAACATACCTGCTGTTTCAGGTGTTTGGTTGCAGAATCACCATTTTTAGGGTCATTAAGGGCATCATGCAATGCTGGATGGGACATAATTTGATCTTTAAGTGTAGAGTTCAAACCTGTGCCAAATATAAGCACAATAGCTTAAGCAACCAAACATGAAACCGTGGGGCTCTGAACAATGGTAGTAACATCTTGTTAACCACACTTGTATCACTCATGTGGCACCTAATTATTCTAAAAGTTTTAACTTACAACTGTAGGCAGACTTACCTTCACTTGCTTTCCTCAATTTCTTAATTAAGTTTTCCAACTGCTCTTCAGAGAGAGAAGAAATTGGAACCTATATACAAAAATGGGGCATCAGCTTGTCTGGGAACTAACCATCACTAATAATATGGATTCTATAGGAAAATGTATTCTAAATTTAAAACAATTATTCTAAACAAAAACTGGAACACAGCTAGCTTATTCACAGAAATAGCTCACGGACACCTTTTAAAATTAAATATTAAGTCAAGTACTTACTAACTGTTCAGGTTTTTCTGTTCCATCTTTTAAGCCTGCGTTAATATCTTGAATAAAGAAGTCCTTAATAAAAACAAAACCACAATAATACTGTTATTAATGTGAAGAGCTCACAAAAATTAAGGTGAAAAACTGGTCCTTCCCTTCTTCCCATACTCTGTACCTGCCATCCTCCCTTTCTCCCATTTATGAATTAAATAATTACTGAGCACCTACTGTGGTCCTTAATTTGTTTTAGTGCTGAGGACTCACCACAGTAGAGAACAGAACAGACAAAAATCTCTAAGTTCATGAATCATATATTCTAGTGAGTTGTTATTTGAATAAACATTTATAGTCTAAAGAAATTTGTTAGTAATTTTTATTAACGTTTTCACCTGCCTATAGCATAGACTTAGGACTCTGTCAGTTTTGCTTATGGTGTTACAGTAAAAACAACAAAGTACCAACTACACATGGCTGTTTATCAGACAGGCAGCATGACCAAAAATAGAGATAAGATATGATATTATAATGGTTTAGGTCTGATTTCTTCTATTTTAAAATTCTGATTAAAATAAAAAATAGAAATGTACTGTGACACTATGTTGTTTAAATTAACATAGTAAGATCTTTCTAGTGTATCTTCAGAGAGAAAGATTCAACATAAGTATCTAGATCAGCATTGTCCAACAGAACCTTCTTCAATGATGGAAATATTCCATATCTTCCCTGGAGAACATGGTAGCCACTAGTTTTGAAATATTGCTAGTGTGACTGAGGAATTGGATTTTCAATTTCATTTTAATTAGTTCAAATTTAAATAGTTACGCATGGCTAGTGGTTACCACATTGGACCATGTAGATATAGAAGAATAAAATAATACCATTTCTACAAATCCTGTTCTAAAAGTAAAAACTATTCCTGGGACTTTATGCATACTAATGGGCTTTTGTTATGCAGAAGGGTAACACGTGGACTGTGTGTTGCTGCCTTTACTTATATGGATAATAAGGAAACTGATGATTAAGCAGAATAGGTGAAGACAGCAGGTATTATAATGTTCTGTTGGATGACTGGCAAAACTATGATAGAAAATTAGCTACAACTATTATAATTTGATGTACTCTTAGTTTAAAATGGTTGCCAAGAGTGCTCCAGGTAAGTTGTGTTGTAGACTAAATTTTTAAATGTGAAAACTATTTATACTGGAGAAATTTATCACCAATTTACTTTCATTTGGTATGCAGAATTTTTAAAAGATTTATTTATTTTAGAAAAAGAGTGAGAGTGAGTGGGGGAGGGGCAGAGGGGGAGAATCTTCAAACAGTCTCCCCACTGAACACGGAGCCAGACTCGCGGCTTGATCTCACGACCCATGAGATCATGACCTGAGCCAAAACCAAGAGTCACACGCTTAACCAACTGAGCCACCCAGGCACCCCTGGGGGGTATTCCATTTTTAATAAATTCACCTCTTCTCTCAAACTTTTCCCAGAACATGTATTCCACCTGTTCGCCTTAACTAAAACCTGGCACTTAGGTAAATTAGCTAATCTCCATGCGTACTTGAAAGTAAAGGCAACATTCTTTCTTTTTACTAAGGGGCTATCTGGGGTGGTCATCTTTTTTCTTCTACAGATCCTAATGTAAAAATACTTCCTGTTAAGCTTATGTCATCTGACCTAAGCTGGTTCTCAACTGGAAGGCATTTGGAAATGTATGGGGCTATTTTATTGTCAAAATGACTGAGAGGTGTTATTGGGAGACAATTCTCCATGGGTCTCTCAATTTTCTGCAAGTGTTAGAAGCAAGACACACTGACAACCTTTGTTCCAGACTCTCTTTTCAAGGACATTTGTATACGAAGCAGTCTTGGAAGACAGAAATAGTGTCTCCTAGAGCAGATCAGGCCTGCTTATTGTAGAGTATAATAAAGAAATGTCTACTTATGGAACAGAGGTCAGGCAGGTTTCCTTACTACCCATTTTATTATTTTTTTAAAAGATTTTATTTATTTATTTTAGAGAGAGAAAGAGCATGCATGCACAAGGTGGGGAGGAGTTGAGAGGGAGGGAAAGGGGGAGGGAGGAGGGGAAAGAATCTTAAGCAGACTCTGCACTGAGCACGGAGCCTGACGTGGGGCTCGATCTCTCATGATCCTGAGATCATGATGACCTGAGCCAAAATCAAGAGTCAGACCCTTAACTGACTGAGCCACCCAGGAGCCCCTTTTATTTAAAGATTCATTTATTTGAGAGAGAGAGAAAAAGCATGTATGTGAGTGGGGGCTGGGATAAAGGGAGAGAATCCTCAAGCAGACTCCCCTCTGAGCACAGAGCCCAATATGGGGCTCGGATCTCATGACCCATGAGATCATGACCTGAGCTGAAACCAAGAGCCGGATGCTCAACTGACTGAGCCACCCAGGTGCCCCTTTACTGCTCATTTTAAAAGAAATGTATTTCCTAAGCTTGGGGTTCTTCAGCTGTGACATAAGCTATGCACAAAATTGTGTAGCATTCACCTAGGCCCTGTTGACTCCATGGATCTTAAGAAACAAGGGGAATCGATGCAGGCAAGAAGCCCATGTTACTTGCTGAGCAGTGAGTAATGAAGTCCTTTGTCTCTAACCTAGGAGTCTCTTCTGCCAGCATCCACAAACCTGTGGCAGGCTAATTTGTTAGCTTGAAAATAAGATTACACTTCAGATCCTTCATATTCCTCACAAGTGCCTTTGCCATTTGCTCAGAGGCCAGGAATACTAAATACAGGAATGCTTTGAAATACACAGGACATGACTATCCCACTTGGAATCCCAAAAGCCCACTGAGGATAGGAGCAGCTCACCCTTTGATGTCAGTGTCACCTAGAGTCTCATACTCTATTTTGTGGCTATCTCTTATCTCATCTTCACTCAGCTCTCCCCTTATATTCTATACACCAGTCACGTGCAATGCCCAGTCCCAGATAAAGCTATCAACTCTCTCACTTCTAGGTCCTTACATATGTGTTTTTTTTCCCCCTTGTCTGGCTGATTCTCCTCCCACTGCCAAAGGGGGAGGGGCAGAAGGGGAGTGAGAGAATTTTAAGCAGGCTCCATGCCCAGTGTGGAGCCCGACTCGTGGCTTGATCTCATAACCACGAGATCATGACCTGAGCTGAAATCAAGATTTGGACACTTAACCAACTGAGCCACCTAGGTGCCCTTAGCTGATTCTCCTTTGACCTGTAGGTCTCATTGTATGACACTCCTTCAGAGAAGTCTCCCTGGCTCCTTCCCCATCTCTCTCATCCCCTATTTCTCCCAAAAAAGGGTTAGGTTCTCCTCCTTTCTTCTTTCATAGCATTCTGTATTTAATCAATTTTAAACACATAATACTGTATTTTTTATCTCTCCCAGACTGTAATGTTCTTATAGGCAGGGTGCTTGGTACGATGTCTGGCATAAGTGCTCAGTATTTATTGAATAAACAAGTTCCTCCCCCACCCTTCCAATCTCTTACCCTGGGTAACTTAAAAATCCAAGGCTTTACCTTTGACTTCCAAATTAACCACTCCACTGACTTTCAGACTCACATATCCAACTCTCAGCTTTTAGTCACCACGTTTTGATTCTGCTACCTAAATAATTCTTGTATTTATTCCCTAACCTTTCCATTCTCTTTCATTTAGTCTCTTATCATGTCCCACCTGGATTTTAGCAACAGCCCCTAACTAGTCCTTCTAATTCCACGCCATCTTCCCACACTGCTCTGAGAGAAAGTTTTTTAAGAGGAAAATCTGACCACACCATTCTTTAGCTTAAAATCTTTCAGTGGTTCCTCATATCTTTCAGAATAAAGTCCGAGTTCTTTGAAAGATTCAGTGTGGTTTCCCAGTTTCTGCCTTTGTGAATATAGTTCTTCTCACCTACAAGGACTCTTCTTCCTTTTCTTTGCCAAATCAAGACTCAGTTCAAGTGTTATTCCCTCTGGGAAGCTTTTCTTGACCCCTTGGATATAATTTTAATTTTTATAAAAATACACGCTCTTATGACATGTGTACTTACTTCTTTCATTGAACTTATTAAGATCCATTATTTACAAGTTAACTTACCAGTCTCAAATAAACTCCTTGAAGGCTGGGACCATATTTTATTGAAATAAATTTAGTAAGCACTCAGTAAATATTTTGAATAAATTGTGAAATTACTTTCTAAACAATATACTTGTTGCATAAAATTCTATTCTCTGAATTAGGATTATAAGTGGATTCACGGTCTGATGTCCTATATATACTCAAATGCATTTACCACATTCAAGCCTTCTGAGGCTAGGGTCTTGTTAAGTATTCACATTTGTAATCAACTAAGTATATATAAGCATTACATACCACACATTTCACCTTTCAATTTTACTGATCAAACACTTACAGGTTTTGGCTTCTCTCTTGAGTTACATTTTTTCAAATGCTTTGCTAGTTGATCTTCATATACTGTGCTAAATTTAAAGAGAAAATTATTTAAAATAAGACCTGTGACAATTATTCTTTCTAGCATAGAAAAACCCTTAACTGACCCATACTTACTGTTTTGGGTCTAAAGGACACAGAATTCTTTTCCGAGCATTTTCTTCCTAATAAAGAAAGATGATATATTGACTTGGATGAAAAATATCAAGTTCATTGCTTACAGATACTAGATACAACTTCAGTGTAATCATAAGTTTATGCATTCCCAAAACAAAATAAGGAAACCTTAAAAGGACATTAGTAATACATTGGTACAATAAAGTCATAGAGTTTAACAACAAAAATCTCCAAAGAAGCTAGTTTTTGTATATATGAGCAAAAATGCTTTGGACAACAAGGGTTTATAGCTTCAAATAGATTATAGAGAAGGTCTACATATGGAATTTCTAATCTATGATAGCATCGACTATAATTTGCGCTATTATTTTATAATATTATTTTAAATATTTTAGTGTCTCTTGGGGGGCCAAAATCACCCTCAGTTAAGAACCAGTGGGTAAAAATGTATACAAGTGGTCTCAGCTATGTATGATACTTAAGACAAAAAGATGAAAGCATAATACCCAATTAGATCATAAATCACAGATTCAGTAAGACGCCCACAGTTGAAAACCAAATCGTGCCATGTAAAGTGTTTCCCTTGATGTCCTGCAATCTTTCTTCAAAGGACCAATAACAACATTCCTTCCTCTCCAGGAAAACCGATCAGCTTGTAAGGAACTAGGCATATTCTACTACTGTCACCAACTGCATTCATCTTTAAGATATTTCGTTAAGGTCAAGTATAAGGTCTTAGAGTAAGAACAAAACTTTCTCCTACCATAAACCTCACTTTTAAAAATTTTATTTATTTAGTTATTTTATAAATCTCATTTTTTAATGAAGAAATGTTTGCTGGTCCCCTCAAAACCACTCAATACAACTGTAGGTATACTTCAGAGAGTTCTCACCATAAGACACAGGTCTCCCACATTCCAAAACAAGTATATATTTGTTTCTGTATACTTCACTCCAGGCAAGTTATCAGTTTATCAAAATATGAAGTAGAGTTATGGCTATAATGGGCAGTAGCAGATGAAGGAGCTCTCGGGGTTGATCTGTACTGGATATTGCCTGGGATAAACCATCTGACTAACAGAAATAATGTAAATAATACTGGACATCGAGAAGGCATGAAACCAGGTGCTTGCCTATTTGGTTTCTAAAACTGACTAAATAGGTTCCTCTTCTACAAGCATTCTGTTCCTCTTGTTTTTAGTTTTATTTTTCTATCATATATATCCCAAAGAAATACACATACACAAAAATATAGTTGACTCTTGAAGGGCGGGGGCAGCCACACCCTCCTCGGCAAATAACTTTTGACTTCACAAAAAATGAAATTTAAAAACTATTTTTAAATTTTTATTTATTTGACGGAGAGACACAGTGAGAGCTGGGAGACACAAGCAGGGGGAGTGGGAGAGGGAGAAGCAGGCTTCCCACCAAGCAGGGAGCCTGATGCAGGGTTCGATCCCAGGACCCTGGGACCATGACCTGAGCCGAAGGCAGACGCTTAACGACTGAGCCACCCAGGCGCCCCGAGATTTAAAAACTTTTTGACGGGGCACTTGGGTGGCTCAGTGGTTAAGCATCTGCCTTCGGCTCAAGTCATGACCCCAGGGTCCTGGGAGGAGCCCCCAGTCGGGCTCCCTGCTCAGCATGGAGCCTGCTTCTCCCTCTCCCCCCCTGCTCCTGCTCTCTTTCTCAAATAAAATTTTTAAATAAATAAAAACTTTTTGACTTAACTAATAGTCTACTGTTGACCTGAAGCCTTATTGCTAACATAAGCAGCTGATTAATGTATATTTTTTGTTGTATGTATTATACACTATATTCTTACAATAAAGCTAACGTGTTATTAAGAAAGTCTTAACAAGGAAAAAACATTCACAGTACTGTGCTGTGTTTATGAAATCCATGTAAACAAGTGGTCAAGCGTCAACTGTATATATATGTATTTTTATTATTAAAGATTTACTTAGGGCGCCTGGGTGGCTCAGTTGGTTAGGCGACTGCCTTGGGCTCCGGTCATGATCCTGGAGTCCTCGGATCGAGTCCCGCATCGGGCTCCCTGCTCAGCAGCGAGTCTGCTTCTCCCTCTGACTCTCCCCCCTCTCATGCTCTCTCTCTCTCAAATACATCTTTAGTTTTACTTATTTAAGAGCGAAAGAGAGAGCGCGCGCGCACACAAGCTGGGAGAGAGGCAGAGGGAGAGAGAAAAGCAGGCTCCCCAATGAGAGCCCAATGTGGGGCTCAATCCCAGGACCCTGGGACCATGACCGGCGCCCAAGCCAGACGCTTAACCCACTGAGCTACCCAGGCGTCCCAAGAGTCAACTCTATATTGACAGTACAATTATATGTATTATCACACAGTATTCTCAAACAAAATTGTACGCCTCCTGTTTTCAATTTTATTTTTTTATTTTTTTAAGATTTTATTTATTTGACAGAGAGAGGCACAGCGAGAGAGGGAACACAAGCAGCGGGGTGGGAGAGGGAGAAGCAGGCTTCCCGCGGAGCAGGGAGCCCGATGCGGGTCTCGATTCCAGGACGCTGGGATCATGACCTGAGCCGAAGGCAGACGCTTAAAGACTGAGCCACCCAGGCGCCCCGTGTTTTAAATTTTAAAAGGAAAGTAAATTCTTACATGATTTTAAATCTTTCCTTCCTCCTTTCAGCAGTTACAAGTTGCTTTCAAAAGACTGTAATCTAAATTTTTTTTTAAGTTTTTAATCACTCCGTGCTCATCACACGTGCACTCCTTAATCCCCAACACCTATTTCACCCATTCCCTCCCTTTCCCCTCTGGTAACCATGTTGGTTCTCTACACTTAGAGTTGCACGTCTAAATACATTTTTTTATTTTAAAGATTTTATTTATTTGACAGAGAGAGACACAGCGAGAGAGGGAACACAAGCAGGGGGAGTGGGAGAGGGAGAAGCAGGCTTCCCGCCGAGCAGGGAGCCCGATGCGGGGCTCGATCCCAGGACCCTGGGATCATGACCCGAGCCGAAGGCAGACTCCCAACGACTGAGCCACCCAGGCGCCCCTAAATAAAATTTTTTAAAAGTTTCTTATTATTCACAAAACAATCAGAACACAATTAGTGAACCCTGGGATCTTTGATCACTGTTTTTTTTTTTTTGATCACTGTTCTTTCTAAACTACCTTTTCTCATCAGGAACGCGGAGACTGGGCGGAGTATGAGGCCGTAGTTTGAAGTAAAACTAAGATCTACCATTACCAGGAGTTAGTATCAAAAAAAAAAAAAAACGGGTCACTGCTGGCGCTCTATTTAGTGCGAGAAACACTGCACTTCGCTACGGCTCATCATCGCTCCCTAGGGACGGCAGGGCTGCCCTTAGTACAGGAAAAGCTGGAAAATCCAGGGAACAGAAGCAGAAATCTGTCAGAGGGGAGTTGCCGGACCAAGAAACTTATTTCCAACTCTCCACAGGGTAGGGCAATACCAGACCTCCGCGGCTCCAGCGTGTTCCCCACAGAATCTTTTCCCTGCCGCCACCACCATCCTGCAGAACCGCTTCTTCTTTTCCACATAGTAACTGCACCGACCCTCAGCCGGAAAGTCAGTCGTGTGCGGGGCCGGCGCAGAAGCCGCCATAACTCAGGGTTCGTTTAGGGTGGCAAGCATCTGCTGAAGAGAAAAGTTCTCTGCTTCCCTCGGGTCCCCTTCCCTTAACAAATATGGCTGCCGCGCGTCCAGCCACGCAGGTTAATGCCCGGAACTGCCTCCCCATCCTCTGCAAAACCGGAAGAAACTGATGGTGGCTGACGAGGTTCAAATCTCCCCCGCCTTCCCTCTGTTTCTGTTTCCCCGCCTCCTCAGCGGAAGCCGAGCGCCAAACTCAAATTTTAGCAGGACCGGGACTCTTTTAGGCTAGTTCCGTGGGCTGGGCCTACTGGACTTTTCCGCTTACTGGCAGGGGCAGCGGACCAACATGAGCCAGGTTCTGTTCCAGGAGCTAGTCCCGCTGCAGGTGAAATGCAAAGACTGTGAGGAGAGGTGAGGTTCCGCGTTACTCCGTGCCCGCGGGTGGCGGTTGGGGTCCGGCCAAGGCGGGGGGAGGGGGGAAGATGGCGGCTCTGGCCAGTGGACACCGGTTTGCGGCTGGGTGTGTGGCCGGCGTCCCGAGACGCAGAGAGAGTCCCACCTGGAACCTAATGTTACCTCTCTCACCAAGTTGGCGGTTGCGGAGGGCACAGGAGGGAGAGTATGAGCAAACGGAAAGCAAAAGTTAATTTTAAAAAAAAAAAAAGTTTTTTTTTTTTTAGTTCTGAACGGAATCGTGGAGATTATAGTCCTACTCTTTCTTTTTGACAGAGAAAGTTAATTTGTCGGGAGAAGTGAAGTAATTTATACGAGAACTCCGAACAAGTTCACGGCAGGGCCGGCGCAAGAACTCTGGCCTTGGCTCCCAGCCCTTTTTTCGCTCTTCTTTGAATTATATTGGAAGTAAATTTAAGCTTCAGCTTAAAAAAGTTTTTATGGTGTAGTGCCTTTACATTAGTTACTAAAAATAAATTACGTTTATTATTATTATCGACTAAAAACAGTAGAGGAAATGATAAATTTCATTCATTCATTTAACAAATACTGCTTATGGCAGAACACCTTGCTGGGTACTGGGGATATAGTGGTCAGGAAGAACAGTCCTTGTTTTCGTGGGGTTTACAGTCCAGTGGAGGAGGAAATAAAGGCCAGTCTCACATAAAAACACAAAATTACGACTTTGACAAAGGTGGTGGTGCTGTTGGGGCTTAACAGATTTGAATAGAAGTCAGGAGGTTTTGATTTTGTTTCCGTTCCGCCGCTCAGTAGCTGACTCTTAACCTTGTTTCCTCACTTGTAAAACTGACATAAGGTTTTACGTACATAATATGAGGATCAAGTCTGAAAATGTCTGTGGAAACTAAAAGGTGTGGAAATGTGACGTTAAAAATGAAGGCATTGCTTTATTGAGTAATGTGTAGCTGGTATATAGTTCAGAATTAGGTCTCACATCAATCCGCAGGCCAGGCAAGGAGATGATACCAAAGCTAGCAGCTGCATGTGGAGATACTGTAGGGTATTTGAGTTGGTCATTCTTTTGTGCTGTCCAGTATGAGAGTCACATATGGTTATCGGGCTTCTGAAATGGAGCTAATTCGAATTGATGTGTGGTAAGAGTAAAATGCTCATTGAGTTTTGAAGACTTACTAGGAAAAACAATGTAAAATATCTCAGTTTTTATGTTGACTGTAAAGATGACACTATTTTGGATATATTGAATATGTATAATGTTGGGTATAAATTACTAACATAACAAATGTTAATAAATATATTCTGTATATCATAAACTTGGGAAATTTGTATTTGATATTGGATATATTCAAGAAAATATTACAATTAATTTACCTGTTCCTTTTAATTTTTTTTAATGTGGCTTCTAGAAAATTTGAAATTACATATTTGGCTCATATTTGTGGCCTCCATTATATCTCTGTTGGACAGCAGTGTTCTCGAATAATTATAGAAATATAAAGGGGGGGAGCATCATTTCTTATTCCAATATTGGAACTCCTAGTTCTTCTCCATTTCATTATATTGCCATCAGAGTTATCTTAAAACACATTGTCAACCTTTTTACTCCTTTTGTTTAGAAACCTTTGATATATTTCTGTCACCTCTAGCAAGGATCAGCAAACGGGCCCATGGGCCAGGTGGCCTTCTGCCTGTTTAAGTAAAGTTTTATTGGAACACAGCCATTCTCGTTTAAGAATTGTCTGGCTGTTTTTGTGCCGTAAAGGCAGACATGAATAATTGCGACAGAGACCTTATGGCCTGCAAAGCCTAAAGTATTTACTGTCTGGCCCTTTGCAGAAAATATGCTGGCCCCTGACCCATAGGGAAAGCAGTCTAGACTTTAGTTAAATATTCAAGGCCAGTTCAGCTCAGCAAATATTTATGAATACATACTATGTACCAGGAATTATCCTACATGCTGAGATTGTCTGGCTTCCTCTCTATTCCCCTGCCTCCTGACAACAACAACAAAAACAATTTTCATTCTGGGCCTTAAGGAACTCACACTTTAATAGGGGAAACGAAAAAATTTCTTTGGAGAGGCAGTATAGCACAGGTTAAGAGTTCAGGGTCTGGAGCCAGATTATCTGGGTTTAAATCCCATTTCTGTCACTTACTGATTTTGTACATTTTTTCTTTGTGTCTCATCTTTAAATTAATGCTTATAAAAGTACCTGCGTCATGGGATAATTAGGAGAATGAAATCAGTTAATACATACAAAGTGCTTAGAACAGTGCCTGAAGCACAATAAGCATTCACTAAACAGTTATTAAAGTGTGATGAATGCATGAAGTGACATCAATATACTAAAGTCATAAAGAAGAAGGAACTTCAGTGGAAGCTCTCCCTCAACTCTGGAGGGAAGAATGCAGAATTTTTAAGCCCATGGTTTGACACCAACCTCTTTTTTCATTTTTGGTTTAGAATTTCTTTTTCCCGTATAATAGTCATACAAGACTACTTATCCCTTGAATGTACCTGATACTCTCTCAATACCATACTTTTATTCCTGCTCTTATCCCTGCCTCAAGTGCTTTTTTTTTTCCCCATAACCTTCAAGGTCTGTCTTAAATCCCTTCACTGTAAGGACCTTTTCAAAATTGCCCAAGTTGAAATTAATTGCCCTATTCATTTATTAGATAACATAGTGTAGGTGAAAGGTCTGAGTTCTAATTTGGGCTCTGTAAGGTGACTTTAACCAAGTTTGTAACTGTGCACCTCAGGTTCTTCCTTTGTAAGACAGAGGTAACTATTTACTTAGGAAGATTGTTGTTAAATAAGGTATATGTAAAGCACTTGGTAGATACTTAGTAGTGTGGGTGCTCAGTGTTAGTAACCCTTCCCTTCTTTCTCTTGAAGCACTAAAATACAATCAGAAGCAAGTCTGGATAGAGTCATTTAATCTGATTTGAGGACATGGACCATGTTTATTTCTGTTTGTATCCCTAGTATCCAGCATACTACGTGGCTTAGAGTAGCTTTTATTTGTTTGAATTGAAAGGTTCAGGTCACAGCTTCTAGGTGGCGAAGGTGGGCTAGAATCCAGTTCTGCTAATGCCAAATCTAACTGGTAGGGAGGATGTTATGTGAATTTATGCATTGTTCAGAGTATGACATTTATTTTCAGAAATAGCATTTTTATGAGTTTTTTTTATTTGTTTTATATTGTTCCTATGACAACCATTATAATGGAGAAAATAAGATTGTGATTTCAGATACTATATTTTCTGAAAGCTCAGGTTTTTCTACAGTATACTTTGGGGGCAGGAGGGAGAGGTTTAATCTATGGGCCTTTCCTCCTCTCTTTTTCTCCCAAGATTAATGCATTATAGACATTTGGAATATATGCAACAATATCATTAATATGCTTCTTAAATTTATTAATGTGATTCTTTCGGTACAATCTAAAGAATGCTAAATGACTTCTTGATTTTTTTTTAAACAAATTTATCAAGTATGACATGAAAGTGTATGTAGACATTGGGGAGGGTATGTGCTGTGGGGAGCGCTGTGAATTGTGCAAGACTGTTGAATCACAGATCTGTACCTCTGAAACAAATAATGCAATATATGTTAAGAAAAAAAAAAGATAGCAGGAGGGGAAGAATGAAGGGGAGTAAATCAGAGGGGGAGACGAACCATGAGACGATGGACTCTGAAAAACAAACTGAGGGTTCTAGAGGGAAGGGGGGTTGGGGGATGGGTTAGCCTGATGATGGGTATTAAAGAGGGCACATTCTGCGTGGAGCACTGGGTGTTATGCACAAACAATGAATCATGGAACACTACATCAAAAACTAATGATGTAATGTATGGTGATTAACATAACAATAAAAAATTTAAAGTAAAAAAAATGTATGTTACCATAAAAAGTTATCTACTGCAGTGTCACATCCCCTGTGGCAGTATGTTTTAGAAAAAACTTCAAAAACCAAACATAATGACAATGTAGATCTGAAAATGTCCTCACAAACCTAACTCAATTCACTTATCGTACAAATTAGGAAATTAAAAGTTTTTTTCCCCCAAGAATACTTAATTTTTTTTTTTAAAGATTTTATTTATTTGCCAGAGGAGAGAGCAAAAGCACGTGTGCACAAGCAGGGGGAGTGGGAGAGGGAGTGGATCCGAGGACCCTGGGATCAAGACCTAAGCCTAAGGCTTAACCGACTGAGCTACCCAGGTGTCCCAAGAATATGTCATTTAAGCAGAGTTAGAGTAGAAATCTCATCTGTTTCACATATATTGCGCTAGATAATAGAAAAATAGAAAAACATTTTCTTGTTCTAAAAATAATTCTTCCTGGGGGCGCCTGGGTGGCTCAGTTGGTTAAGCGACTGCCTTCGGCTCAGGTCATGACCTCAGGGTCCTGGGATCAAGCCCCACATCGGGCTCCCTGCTCGGCGGGAAGCCTGCTTCTCCCTTTCCCACTCCCCCTTGTGTTCCCTCTCTCGCTGTCTCTCTCTCTGTCAAATAAATAAAATCTTAAAAAAATAAAATAAAATTGATTCTTCCTGGGGACGCCTGGGTGGCTCAGTCGCTAAGTGTCTGCCTTCGGCTCGAGTCATGATCCCAGGCTGTTGGGATCGAGCCGTGCATCGGGCTCCCTGCTCAGCAGGAAGCCTGCTTCTCCCTCTCCCACTCCACCTGCTTGTGTTCCCTCTCTAGCTGTCTCTCTCTGTCAAATAAATAAATAAATAAAATCTCAAAAAAAAAAATAATTCTTCCTTTCTGTGGTATTTGCCAGTGCTGCTTGTTCCTTTTCAGATAACAGAAGTTATGGTAACCTTATCATCTGGTAACCTCATCATGCTAAGATTTAGCATCCAATCATATGTTCAATAGGAAATTTAACTAAAATGACATAAAAAGCCAAAATAAAAATTTTAAGTTGTAGCATAAAAAATCTGGACAATTGAATCTGGCCTTGCTCAACTATTACCTAATTTTCCCAACGCTTGGTTGCTAGGTCTATACTTTTTACTTCTGCAGTAGATAAGTAACAGAATGTGGGAAAAATTTAAAACACATCTTAAGATGTTTAAGAATAGCTTAAAATTGAACAAATTCTATTTGTTTACTTTTGTTTCCTACACATCAGGGAAAGACCATTGTTTTTTAATTCTAGCAGAATATAGAATTTTTTTTTTTTTAAAGATTTTATTTATTTATTTGACAGAGAGAGACAGCGAGAGCAGGAACACAAGCAGAGGGGGAGTGGGAGAGGGAGAAGCAGGCTTCCCGCTGAGCAGGGAGCCCGATGTGGGACTCGATCCCAGGACCCTGGGATCATGACCTGAGCCAAAGGCAGATGCTTAACGACTGAGCCACCCAGGCGCCCCCAGAATATAGAACTTTTGTGCAGAGATGTTTTTTCACCAATTTTTCCCTTTATTTCCTTGATCATTTAAACATCTTTGCTCAGTTTGATTAATGGTTATGAGCACCTTGATTTATATGCCTCTGTCTGATACTGAATTCTCTAAGATACAGTAGAGAATGTGGAAAGCTATGATTTCTTTTGGAGTTTAGAGTTACTCTAGGTTAAGGTGGATAATAAACTGTTGACATACAAGGTATTGCACAGGGACTATATTGAGCAGATGTAGTTGGTGGATTTTGTGTATGTGTAAGGGAGGGGAATGTGTTATCTTACTTCCTGGATTGTAAGCATTCCATGTATTCCAATACTGCTTCACATTTTAAGTTTTTCAAATGGAATCTCATAAATCAATTTGATCATTTGAATTGGTAATTATTTTTAATGTGGAAAGTTGTTATTGATGGTTTGTTTGGTTTTCAGTAGATGCTATTTTAGAATCCGGGCAGTAGGTTATATTCCAGACTAGTAATGGGAATTCCACATTGTTTTTTATCTCATTTAATTCTCACAACAGTCCCATTTTACAGGAGAGAAAAATATAATCTCTGGTTAAAAACCTGATTAGTTACTAGTGGAAGAACAGGAACTTAAACTTCAAAACTGGTATGCTTCCCAAATATCCTTTCATAACTTAGGGAACACCTGTGGACGATCTTGCAGCTTAAGACTGAAAACTTCAGCTAATACAAATGACAGTTAACTCATTTCATATGATTGTTTCTGACAATTGGGTATATCTTTTCATATAGGAGAGTGAATGTTAGAGTGAGCATTGAACTACAATCAGTTTCCAATCCAGTTCACAGAAAGGTTGGTATTAATTTCTTTTGAAATATTTTCATTTTTTTTTGAAATGGACTTTCTATGCGTTATAATTATGTTTGTTCTTTAAGAACGTGAGATCTTTTGTTCCACCGCTTGCTTTTTAGTTTTGGGCCAGTTTGTAACTTGCAAATCTGGGCTGATAGAATCTACTAAGACAACAACTGAGAGATTATTATACCATAATGTTTCTTTCTTCTTCTTTTTTTTAAAGATTTTATTTATTTATTTGAGGGGGGATAGGAGTGCGTGTGTGGGGGAAGGGGCAGAGGGGGAGAGAGAGAGAGAGAGAGTCTCAAGCAGACTCCTCGCTGAGCATGCCCAACTCAGGGCTTGCTCTCACAACCCTGAAATTATGACCTGAGCCGAAATCAAGAGTTAGATGCCCCACTGACTGAGCCACCCAGGTGCCCCTATATCATCTGTTTCTAAAGCATACAGGAAGGATTGGGGATTGGGAGAATTGGGGGTTAGGTTTGCCCAATGCATTTATACGTTGCTAGGGTATATATTGCTACCCTGTAGAATTGGCATTTCATGTTGTACAGGTGAGGATAGAATGAGTTGAAGCACTGCAGGGACATATTTTTGAATCTTTGCCTTTTGAAGGGAGGCATTTAGAGCATCAGTCCTATATGATCCTCAGAAGTATGAGTCATTAGTGATATGGATATAGACAAGATGACTAAGAAATACAGCATCTGTTTTCTCTGTGTCATAGCTTTCCCTAAACATGATATTCAAGAACCTTGTACTATTAGTAGTAGCTTCAGTTTTTTTATAGCATCTTGGGGTGAATTTCAAGAAGTACTTCTGTAGAAGCTGCCTTCAGGCAGGACATTCTGAGGCAGAGCAAATACCTAGATTGCTAATTTTCTGGAGTAGAAATCATATGTTATATTTTTTACATGTTATTCCTTAGGCCTGTTATACCTCTTATTTTCTGGCTCTACCCATAAGTGGTTTAGATTTTTCTAGGACCCTAGCAGTTCCTCAGTAGCCACGAGTAGATTTTATTTCAAAGTGGAAGCTTACTCTCAACCTGAATGCTGATTTGTTCTTCTGTTAGGCCTCCATCATCTTGTTACTATGCCTGTTTTCTTTATATCAGTGTTCTGATACGTACTTTAGTACGTAATTTCTGCGTACTTCTCTGTCAGTCAGCATTAGCTGCTGTCATGTTCTGCTATACTGTAAATTTATGTAGAAAGTGGTCTTTATGAAAGATATTCACTTAATGTAAAACTGAAAACAGATGGAGTTCCATGTCACCGGCCACCTGGAGTAGGAGAGAATAGGCCCTTAGGAAGAAGCCCTGGCAACATGTTACTTGATACCCCTGTCTTCTGCCCGAGAGAAAAATGCTCCTTTTCTAGGATCCATGATTGCTTGTCATTTCAGCTGATATATTGCCACTTTTGGAATATCAGACAATTAACTTATGGGAAACTGAAAATATAATTGAATATGATGTGGTCAGTGGTAGAATGTTTTTATCATGCTATAGTGCAGCAAAGACTGGTTCTCAGTTTTCCTAAGCCTCTAATAGGATGGTATTCCTCAACTTGCAACTCCTACCATTTAACTAGTTTTTATAGACCCCCACATGGCTCTCAAGGAACAGAGTATCTACTCCTGTTTAAGATTCTTAAGTCTCTTAAAGACTAATGAAAACCCAGGTGCACCAGAAAACAAAGTCATCTGAAGTATATTGGTGATACATTGTTGTTACTGGATAATTTCACTTCTAAGAAGGAAGAAATTAAAAGACTGATCTATTGAAAACATTAAAAAATAACAATCTTTCTTTTAGGATTTAGTTATCCGTCTGACTGATGATACTGATCCATTTTTTCTGTATAACCTTGTTATATCTGAGGAAGATTTTCAGAGGTAACTAAATTTATTTTTCCATTTTTATATTTAATCTAGGAAATAAGTTTTATTGATGTATTGGTAGTGTTCTCTTTGAAATGCAGCCTATTAGGAACATTTAGGTATTTTGAGAATACTGGACTGCTTATACTATAATTATTCAGGATGTTTTTGAAAGTAAATATTTCATAGCTTATCAGAATTCTGCTTAAAACAGCTCAAATTTGGAGCTTTAGCAAAATATATTGACCTTTTCCCTCCCATTGAATAAATTCTTAAAAATTCTCTAGTTCTTGATTATAGTGGATATTCGGTAAATAAAAAAAGAATATTTTAGGGTTTTAATTAAAGATAGTAATTAAATTTTTAAAAAATCTCTTTTTTCTGTATAGCTTAAAATTCCAGCAAGGCCTTTTGGTAGACTTCTTAGCTTTCCCACAAAAATTTATAGATCTCCTTCAGCAGTGTACTCAAGAACATGCCAAAGAAATTCCAAGGTAAGTCTCATAAGAGCACTACGTCATTAAAATTCTCTCAAGAGAAACTCTTCTTTGTAAGACAAATTGATGGCAAAATATTTTCTATGTGTTGTAAGTACTCCTGTCTATTTTTAACTGGGTTTAGGGCTATTAAATATCAAATTTTAAGGAATCATGGTTAAAATCAGAATATTTACCCCTTAATTTTCATGTCTTGACAGAGTCATTAAAGCTATCTGAAATATTTAACAGCATCAAGTATATGATTTTATAATGAACTTGGATAGGAGGAATAAGATTTTGTGTTTATATGTGTATATTCATGTTTGTGTGATGCTAAAGCCTGATCCTTTCATTGCAAAGTTCACTAACCTTTTATCTATTGGGTTCATCAATTGATGATTGTTGTTTGAATCAGTTATTTCGTTAGGAACTACAAAGTTATGCATTTCTAATTCTGTCATTCTTTTTATATTTATTAGGTATAATTCTTTTATAAAGAAGAACTTTTCCTCATCAGCTTGGGCTATTTGATTACTATGGAAAGGAAAGGATAAATGCTTAATTCTTTTAAATTGTCAATGTTTAGAATAAGGAGTTGTTACTCTAGTTACTTTTGTGTTTTCAATCGGTTTTCGGTTTGTTTTTATTTTTCTACTTTGTCTTTCATTATGAACTCATGGACATTTGTATATTCACTGTATTTCAGTGAATCCCTTTTCTGTTTCTTGCTCAATTTTTCCATTTTACTCTTAGTTTATCCAGTTTTACCATTGGGAGTCCTTTTATATTGGCCCCTTTGATTCCAATATGCCTCCTTTCCCAATGCTTCTAAGCATCAGTGATTCACTGGAGCTTATGATTCAGTGGGAGAATTTCACTATCTCATAAGTGTTGTTATATTGTGACACTTTCTTTTCAAAGGTTTTTGCTACAGTTAGTTTGTCCAGCACCTCTTTTGGATAACTCACCTGCCTTTTTAAATGTGGTAGAGACAAATCCTTTTAAGCATCTTACACACCTCTCGCTAAAACTTTTACCTGGAAATGATGTGGAAATAAAGAAGTTTTTAGCTGGCTGTTTGAAATGTAGCAAGGTAAGATTTAAATTTAAGTTATTCTTTTAAAAATAAGTACCAAAAGTCTCTGATAAGTCACTGAAGAGTTATAGTGCTATTAGTTTTTGTTTTCAGAATAAAGTATTGTTAAAGATGTCTAGTAAGTTTTTATAATATGTAAGGAATTTGTTTTTACTTTATTTTTTTTTTCCATTTAATCAAGATACAGTGAGGGTAGAACTGGGCCAAAAATTAAAAAACTAGGTCCCATGGATTTTATTAATTTTCTGTAATCTGGGTAGGTCACTTAAACTGTTTTATCATGGTTTCATCAGCTGGTAGATAAGTATGGAAATATCTACTACCCTATTACATCTGTCTCAAATGAGGAAAAAGATATGAAAGTGTCTTGAGAATTACAAAGGTGCTCTATAATTTTATATGGTTTATGGAGCAAGAAAACAACATTAGGATGCCTCTTCATAGTTTTCATAAAGACTTTTTAGTCAAATGCTATAGATTAGTGCATCTCAGATTTTAATGGTATGCAAATCCTCTAGAGATCTTGTTCATTCTGATTGTGAATCAGAAGGTCTGAAGTGGAACCCAAAATTCTGCATTTTTAGCAAACTCTCAGGGTGATGCTGATGCTATACTTTGAGTAGCACAGCTACAGATGATTAAATTGTAAACTGCGTAATTTTATTGTTTTTATAAATAGGAAGAAAAATTATCATTGATGCAATCACTAGATGATGTTACTAGGCAACTGAATTTCACACAAAAGGTAATTCAGATTTCATTTTGTTTTTGTGATTCCTCCAAACACTGGCTCTGAATTGCTTCTCGAATCCTATCCAGGCTTTTGTGTATTATTTTTTTAAAGCATGTTCCTTTGAATTTCCTCTCCTTTTTGCCACCTTTCCCCTATCAGCAAATTATCTTAATCTGATTGCTTTCTCTGATAGTTGATTCCATCCAAACGTTTCTTTTACCGTCAATATATAACACATTCCTTTCAGGTTCTTCATTAAATAATATATAGTACCTGTCACATGTTAGTTCTTTGCTCTTTTATTCACCTCACTCCTCCTGTCTAAAATGATGTTTCATTTCATATCTTCTAAACCTTTCCCTTCTATACCTGTGTTAATGACTTATTCTGATAGGCTTATTATCATTTCAGTCATAGCTACTACCTTTTTGCCCTTAGTTCTTGAAACTGTGAAGACCATATCTGATAAGTGTCATGGCTTCAGGCAGAAATTGTCCTGTACAACGTAGCCCATCTAGGAAATCTATGTTACTAGGTTTGATATGTATAAGTGAACCACTGCATATAACTGACTTGCTCTACCCTGGGTTGCTTTATTTCTTAATGTCAGAGGAGAGGATTAGGTAGTGAAGAGCCAGATTTAACTAAAAGGTTAAAGATAGTTAAGCTTGACTTCTGGGCCATGTTAGCTCTAAAATTCTTTTATTCTAATCTTGATTTCCTCAAATTAAAAAAAAAATCTGTGTAGGAAAAGGCTTTGAGTATTTTGGAAAGCTGTGATTCCTTTTCTTTAATATCCTTTGTAAATATTCACATGTTCTAAGCTAATAACATTCACAAGACTGTCTTAATATTTTGTGTTGAACTCTAATACAGACATTATCAGAAAAAATCCAAGAATTAGATAAGTTGCAGAATGAATGGGCATCACATACAGCTGCATTGTCAAATAAACATTCCCAGGAACTGACAAATGAGAAAGAAAAGGCCTTGCAGGTATGAACATTAAAGAAAATAGAAAATTATTTTGTTGCTGCTGTTAGTCATTTCGTTAGTTATAAAAGTAATATATGCTTGCTTTAATATGTTCAAACATTACAGAAGTATATAAAAAAATGTTGCTCATTAAAAGTCTTATTACCTAGAGATAATTTATAAACATTTTGATATGTGTTTTTCCAGACTTTTCTCTTTATATGTAAATAATGTGTCCTTTGTAAATATTTGTTCATATTTATAAATTTAGAAATATGTAAATTATATATTTGTACACACATGATGGATTTTGGTTGTATTCTATGCTAATGAGATCCCACAGTATATATTGATTGTAACTTTTTTCACCTAACATGACATCATAGGTCATTCTTTATCAGTTCAGATATTCTTTTTTAGTGGCTGCGTAGTATTCATTATTTGGGTATAACATAAATTAACTACTTACCCAACTGGTGGACATTTAAATGCTTCAGTATTTGGCTGATGCAAATAAACTACAGTGAACATTCTTTGTTCCTAGAAGTGAGATTGCAATATACCTATATAAGATACTAATGCATATTGCAAATTTGCTAGCCAGAAAGGTTGTACCAAATCTAAAAGATAGTGTATGACATTACTTATTTCTCCATATTCTTTTTTTTCATTTTTATTAAGTTTTTAAGTTTAATTCCAGTATAGTTAACATACAGTGTTGTATTAGTTTCAGGTGTATGATATAGTAATTCAACAATAATATACATTACTGAGTGTTCATCATAAGTGTACTCTTTAATCTCCATCACCTGTTTTACCTATTCCCCCACCCCATGCCCCTGCGCAGATAACCATCAGTTTATTCTCTATAATTAAGAGTCTCTTTCTTGGTTTGTCTTTTTTTTCCTTTGTCCATTTGCTTTTTTTTCTGAAATTCCACATATGAGTGAAATCATATGGTATTTGTCTTTCTCTGATTCACTTATTTTGCTTAGTCTTATACTCTAGCTCCATCCATGTTGTTGCAAATGGCAAGATTTCATTATTTTATATGGCTGAATAGTATTCTATATATATAATGGGATATAATATAAATATATATAATGGAATATATGTATATATACACACACACACACACAAACAACCCACATCTTCTTTATCCATTCATCTATCGGTAGACTCTTGGGCTGCTTCCATAATTTGGCTATTTTAAATAATGTTGCAATAAACATAGGGGTGCATATATCCTTTTGAATTAGTGTTTTTGTATTCTTTGGGTAAATACCCCGTAGTGTGATTACTGGATGGTAGGGTAGTTCTATTTTTTTTTTTAACTTTATTTTCTTTAGTAATCTCTACACCCAATCTGGGGCTCAAACTCACGACCCTGAGATCAAGAGTCACATGTTCTTCTGACTGAGCCAGGCAGGAGCCCTTATGGGTAGTTCTTTTTTTTTTTTTTTTAATTTTATTTATTTATTTGACAGAGAGAGATACAGCGAGAGAAGGAACACAAGCAGGGGGAGTGGGAGAGGGAGAAGCAGGCTTACCGCTGAGCAGGGAGCCTGATATGGGGCTCGATCCCAGGACCCTGGGATCATGACCTGAGCTGAAGGCAGACACTGAACCAACTGAGCCACCCAGACGCCCCATGGGTAGTTCTGTTTTTAATTTTTTAAAGATTATTTATTTATTTATTTTAGAGAGTGAGAGAGAGAGAATGAGCAGGGAAAGCGGCAGAGAGAGGGGAGAAGCAGACTCCTTGCTAGGAGCCCGATGTGGGTCTCAATCCCAGGACACTGGGATCATGACCTGAGCCGAAGGCAGATGTGTAACCTGTTGACCACCCAGGTGCTCTTCTATTTTTAATTTTTTGAAGAACCTCCATACTGTTCCACAGCAGCTGCACCAGTTTACATGAGGTGCATGAGGGTTCCTTTTTCTCCACATCCTCACCAACACTTGTTTCTTGTGTTTTTTTTGATTGTAACCATTCTGACAGGTGTGAGATGATAGCTCATTGTACTTTTGATCCCTGATGATGATATTGAGCATCTTTTCATTTGTCTATAGGCCATCTGTGTCTTCTTCAGAGAAATGTCTGTTCATGTGTTCTGTCCATTTTTTTCACTGGATTGTTTGTTTTATTGGCGTTGAGTTGTATCAGTTCTTTGTATATTTTGGATGCTAGCCCTTTATCAGATATGTCCTTTGCAAACATTTTCTATTCAATAGGTTGCCTTTTAGTTTTGTTAATTGTTCCCTTCACTGTGCAGAAGCTTTTTATTTTTATTTATTTATTTATTTTTTAAATGTCATTTCCTTTTATTTTTTTTTTTAAGATTTTTATTTATTTATTCATGAGAGATAGAGAGAGAGAGAGGCAGAGGGAGAAGCAGGCTCCCAAGGAGCAGAGAGCCCAATGTGGGACTCGATCCCAGGACTCTGGGATCATGCATGACCTGATGTGAAGGCAGACGCTTATCCATCTGAGCCACCCAGGCGCCCCAGAAGCTTTTTATTTTGATGTAGTCCCAATAGTTTATTTTTGCTTTTCTTTCCCTTGCCTCAGGAGATATATCTGGAAGAATGTTGCTATGGCCAGTGTCAGAGAAATTACTGCCTGTGCTCTCTTCTAGGATTTTTATGGTCTCAGGTCTCACATTTAGGACTTTAATCCATTTAGAGTTTATCTTTGTGTATGGTGTAAGAAAGTGGGTCAGTTTCCTTCTGTTGCATGTACCCGTCCATTTTTCCCACTACCATTTGTTGAAGAGACTATCTTTTTCCCATTGCCTATTACTGCCTCTTTTCTCAAGGATTAATTGACCATATAATCGTGGGTTTGTTTTGGACTTTCTGTCCTGTTCTCTTGTTCTCTGTGTCTATTTTTGTGCCAGTACCATACTGTTTTGATTACTACAGCTTTGTAATATAACTTGAAGTCTGGAATTATGATACGTCCAGCTTTTTTTTTTTTTTCTTCTAGATTGTTTTGGCTATTTGGGGTCTTTTGTGCCTTCATACAAATTTTTGGATTATTCTAGTTCTGTGAAAAATGCTGTCGGTATTTTGATGGGGATTACATTAAATGTGTAGATTGCTTTGGGTAATGTGGACATTTTAACAGTATTTGTTCTTCTAGTCCATGAGCATGGAATATCTTTCCGTTTGTTTCTGTCAGTTTTAGTTTCTTTCATCAATGTTTGGTAGTTTTCAGAGTATAGGTCTTTTACCTCCTTGGTTAAATTTATTCCTAGGTATCTTATTTTTGTGCAATTATAAATGGGATTACTTTCTTAATTTCTCTTTCTGTTGCTTTATTATTAGTGTGTAGAAATGCAATGGATTTCTATACATAGATTTTGTATACTATGATCTTAATGAATTCATTTATTCTAGTAACTTTTGGTGGAGGTTTTAGAGTTTTCTATATATAGTATCATGTCATCTGCAAATAGTGAAAATTTTATTTCTTCCTTACCAATTTGGATGCCTTTTGTTTCTTTTTCTTGTCTGAGTTCTGTGGCTAGGACTTCCAGCACTATGTTGAATAAAAGTGGTGAGAGTGGACATCCTTGTGTTGTTCCTGATCTTAGGGGGAAAACGTTTTTCCCCATTCAGGATGATGTTAGCTGTGGGTTTTTCATAAATGGCCTTTATTATGTAGCAGTATGTTCCCTCTAAATGTACCTTGTTGAGGGTTTTTATCATGAATTGATGTACTTTGTCAAATGCTTTTTCTGCATCTATTGAGATGATCATGTGGTTTTTATCCTTTGTTATTGATATGTATTAACATTGATTTGTGAATATTGATCCATCCTGGCAACCCAGGAATAAATCCCTCTTGATCATGATGAATGATTTTTTTTTAATGTATGTGAATTTGGTTTGCTACTGTTTTTTTGGGGATTTTTGCATCTATGTTCACTAGGGATATTGGCTTGAAGTTCTCTTTTTTTGTTGTGTCTTTATCTGATCCGGGTGTCAGGGTACTGCAGTCCTCCTAGAATGAATTTGGAAGTTTTCCTTTTTCTTTTATTTTTTGGAGGAGTTTGAAAAGAATAGGTATTCACTCTTCTTTAAATATTTGGTTGACCTATGAGGCTGTCTGGTCCTGGGCTTTTGTTTGTGGGGAGATTTTTCATTACTGATTCAATTTCATTGCTGGTAATCGGTCTGAACTTTCTCTTTCTTCCTGAGTTTTTTGGGAGGTTATATGCTTCTAGGAATTTATCATTTCTTCTAGGTTGTCCAATTTGTTAGCATATAATTTTTCATAATTCTGTTGTAACCCTTTGTATTTCTGTGGTGTTGGTTTTTCTCCTTTTTCATTTCTGATTTTGAGTCCTCTTTTTTTTTTTTTTGATGAGTCTAGCTAAAGGTTTTTCGATTTTGTTGATCTTTTCAAAGAACCAGCTCCTGGTTTTATTGATTTGTCTTTTTTTTTTCCATTTCTGTGTCATTTATTTTTGCTATAATTTTTATTTCCTTCCTTCTGCTGGTTTTGGGTTTTGTTTATTCTTCTTTGTCTGGCTCCTTTAGGTGTAAGGTTAGGTTGTTTATTTGAGATTTTTCTTGCTTCTTGAGGTAGGCCAATATTGCTATAAACTTCCCTCTTAGAACAGCTTTTGCTGCCTCCTAAAGATTTTGAACAGTGTTTTCATTTTCATTTTTTTGCATGTATTTTTTGATATCCTTTTTGATTTCTTGGTTGTCCTTTTCATTGTTTAGGAACATATTATTTAACCTCCCATGTATCTGTACTCTTCCCAGATTTTTTTTTTTTTTTGGGGTGATTGATTTCTAATTTCATAGCATTGTGGTCAGAAAAGATGAATGGAATGACTTTGATCTTTTTGAATTTGTTGAGGGTTGTTTTATGGTCTAAAGAATGTGTAGTCTGCTGTTTTCTGATGGAATGCTTTGTATATATCTATTAAATCTGTATTGTCAATGTGTCATTCAAAACCACTGTTTCCTTGTTGATACTCTGTTTTGATGATCTGTCCATTGATGTAAGTGGGATGTTAAAGTCCTTTACTATTACTGTATTACTGTCAATTCGCTCCTTTATGTTTGTTATTAGCTGCTTTATGTATTTGGGTGCTCCTCAGATATGCATAAAATATATGTTGGATGCATAAATATCTACAATTTTTATATCTTCTTGTTGGATTGTCTCCTTAATAATTACACAGTGTCCTTGTCTCTTGTTATAATTTCTTTTTTTCAAATTTTTATTTACATTCAAGTTAACTTATAGTACGTTATTGGTTTCAGGAGTAGAATTTAGTGATTCATCACTTACATATAACACTTAGTACTCATCATAACAAGTGCCTTCCTTAATACCCATCACCCACTTAGCCTGTCCTCCACCCAACTCCCTCCATCAACCCTCAGTTTGTTCTCTATCACTAAGAGTCTCATGGTTTGCTTCCTTCTCTTTTTTTTCCTTCCCCTATGTTTATCTGTTTTGTTGGTAAATTGCATATATGAACGAAATCATATGGTATTTGTCTTTTTCTGACCTATTTTGCTTAGGATAATACACTCTAGCTCCATCCACGTCATTGCAAATGGCAAGGTTTCATTCTTTTTGATGGCTGAGTAATATTCCATTGTGTATATACGCCACATCTTCTTTATACATTCATCAGTTGGTGGATGTTTGCTCTCTTTCCATAGTATGGTTATTGTTGATAAGTTTTTGTTTTAAAGTGGAATACCAGTTTACACTGCCATTCTGAGGGTGTGTGATAATACGTTATAATCACACATTTTCATATATGTATTGACCACTTGGATATTCTCATGTGAAGTTCAAGAATACTCTTGCCTGTTTTCATCTTTAGCCCATTTTTATTTTTATTTATTTTTTTTTTAAAGATTATTTATTTAAGAGAGGGAAGGAGTGGTGCTTGATCCCAAGACCCTGGGATCATGACCTGAGCCAAAGGCAGACGCTTAACCGACTGAGCCACCCAGGCACTCCTAGCCCATTTTTAAATTAGACTATTAGTATTTTACCTATGGATTTGTAGGGATTTTTTGTATGATCTGGACATGAGTCCTTTGTCAGACACATGCATTATGAATATTTTCTGTGTGTGGCTTGCCTTTTCATTTCTTTGTGGTGTAAAGTAGGCATAGTATATCTTTATTATGTATATATAAACATTTTCTCCCAGGCTATCTTTGTCTTTTACTATTTACTGTTGCCTTTTGCCCTATATGGTTCTTTTTATTTGAATGTCATCAAATCTGTCAATCTCTGCTTTTATGGTTTAAAGCTTCATGTTTGGAAAGCCTCTGCCACCCAAGGTTATAAAATCTATTCCTTCAATATTTTCTTTTAATATTTTTACATTTTTTTTGTTGTATTTAACTTTTTAATCTGTTTGGGATATATTTTTGTGGAGTACAGTATGAGATAGGTATTTTTTTGACATAAAGTCAGTCATTTGTTCCAATACCATATATTCCACTGATTTAAAATGCAACTTTTTTTTTTTAAGATTTTATTTATTTATTTGACAGAGAGAGACACAGTGAGAGAGGGAACACAAGCAGGGGGAGTGGGAGAGGGAGAAGCAGGCCTCCCGCTGAGCAGGAAGCCCGATGTGGGGCTCGATCCCAGGACCCCGGGATCATGACCTGAGCCAAAGGCAGACGCTTAACGACAGCCACCCAGACACCCCTAAAATGCAACTTTTAAAATATTCTAAATTCCTTTGTATATTTAAGCTTGTTTCTGGAGTGTTGGGGAGAACTAATATCTTTCAGATTTTCTAACCGAATAGAGAGAATATCTTTTCATTTATTCAGGTTTTATTAAAAACAGGCTAATAGTGTGCTTTTTATTTCCCTCTGACTTCTTTCCTTTTTTTTTTTTTTTACAGTTCTTACTAAATATGCCTAGAGATTTTATAGTTTTTTGCTGTATATATTGGACCATCTATGTCCCACCATTGTGATAATTTTGATTGTTGTTGTGCATTAATGTTGTATTCATTAATTGTACATTATATTTACAGATTCTGATAGTTTTAGAACTGATTGGCTTAGGTTTTTCAGGTAAATATATAATGTATAAAAATGGTAATTTATGTTTTTTGTTTTTAAGATTAGTGTCTTTTTTTTTTTTTTCTTGTACAGAAAAATGCCAAATAGTAGTGAATCCTTTCCTCGTTCTATTCCTTTTTTGGTAAATAACTTAAAATATCTCATCTTTAAGAATCATGTTTGCTCTGCATTGGAGAAAGTTTTCTTTTGTTCTATGTCCTGAGAGTTAAAGAGTGCTAAGTCAGATGTGATTTTGGGGGATTTAATCAAATAATCATGTCATTTTTTCCACTTTTATCTAATGTAATAAATGATAATGGATTTTATTTTATTTATTTATTTTTAGAGAGAGAGCTTGTGCGTGTGGGGAGGGGGGTGGTAGTGGAAGGGGCAGAGGGAGAGGGAGAGAGAATCTTAAGCAGGCTCCATGCCCAGTGCAGAGCCTGATGCAGGGCTCGATCTCATGACCCTGAGATCATGACCTGAGCTGAAATCAAGAGTCAGACACTTAACTGACTGAGCCACCCAGGTGCCCTATAGGCAGAGATTTGAAAATTTTAGTGTGTATCAGAATCACCTGCAGTGAACAGAGTAGAAAATGTAAATGTTGAGTCCTATCCCTCATACTTCTTTCTTTTTTTTAAACAAAAACTCCAAAATACTAATGATCACTGGATAAAACCAGTCCTTTTTTATTGCCTTTATTGCCTTCAGTGTGTTTATCTTCTTCAACAGTTACATTAGCATCTTTTCCAGTTTACTCTTTATTCTTCTTGATTGCTCCTTCAGTGTTTTCTTCCCACGTTGCATTTTCAGTCTTTTGTGGACTTTTTCTGTTTTTCTCCTTTTCTGTTTTTCTCTTTTGTTCCCTTCTCCCCTCCTTTCCATTTTTCAAAAAATGAGAGAATTTTAAAGTAATTATGTAAAATTCCCCAAGTATTTTATGAGGGAGACATTCCCCTGTTCTTGTAATAATTTTTAAATAGGTACAACTTTTTTGGAATGCAGTTTTGGAACTATATCAAGTTTTGTATTTGTTTATTTTTTTGGCTTCTTTCTTTTTAACTAGGCTCCACAGCTAAGATGGAGCTAAACTGACTGAGTCACCCAGGTGCCCCTGTTCACATTTTTTGACCTATAATTGATCATAAGGAAATAATCTGAATTTTGGATGTATGTCTGTATACAAAAGCAATCATAGTTTTGTTTCTAATTGTGAAAAATTGGGAAGTCCATGTCCATAGTAATACAGGGCTTAAATGAATTACAGTATATCCATGGAATGGAATAATGTGCAGCTATTAAAGTGTTTACAGAGTTTTTTTATGGTATGAAAAGGTACAAATGCAGGGTGCCTGGGTGGCTCAGTTGGTTAAACGTCTGACTCTTGATTTTGGCTCAGGTCTTGATCTCAGGGTCATGGGATTGACCCCTGCGTTGGGCTCTGCACTCAGCACAAAGTCTGCTTGTCCCTCTACCTCTGCTCCTCCTCCCACTCTCTCTATCTCTAAAATAAATAAATAAAATCTTGAAAAGGTACAAATGCTAAGGAATAAAAAGCATGATTTAAGTTGTATAAATGGCTTGATCTTAATTAGTTAAACTTAAATATGTATATTGTATGCGTACGGGTGATGTCAGTATAAATATATTAGGAATATATATTCCCCAAATAAATATATTACAAATATTCCTAAATATTTAGAGTGATTCCTTGGATGAGATTATTGGTTATTTGTAATTTCTTTCTTTGTGCATTTAAGAGTATGTATAACTTTCATAATCAGAAAAATGTACTTTATTTTTGAAAGGTATTTAGGATTTGATAGTGTTCATCAATAGAAATGATAAACATAGACTTGTGGTATGATTCAGACAGGCACCAGAGATTAAACAATTATAACTCTGTTCAAATCTTATCATGGGTAAAATGTTGCTACTAAATGTAAGACTGAACTAATGAACAATTCCTTGTCAATTTTATAATTTTAGGGTTTTTTTATTATAAAAAATATACACTTGTAAAAAACTGAAACAATATAATGGTATTTAAAATGAATACTGGAATTCCCTATGTACCTGCTCATTTTTTTTTTTTAACACAAATAGGTTCACACTATTTTGTAGTTTTTTAACCTAATCATATATGATTCTTCCCTTAACTTGAAGACTATACTAAATATTTGAGGGTTTAAGAGAAGCAGAAACTAAGGGCAAGATCATAATGGTAAATTTGCTTTGTTGACCTTTCTTCTTCATGAAATCCGTAATTGAAAATAGATCCTCTTTAAAACAGGGAAATTTTATAATCTTATAGAAGAATAAGACTTATTTTCTTCAAATCTTCCTGTATTTGTATTTGGTTTTTTTTGTTTGAATTTTGGGACTATATTTTTATTATATAATAGGCACAGGTACAGTACCAACAGCAGCATGAGCAACAGAAAAAAGATGTAGAAATCCTCCATCAACGAAACATCCAGCAACTACAAAACAGATTATCTGAGTTGGAAGCCGCTAATAAAGACCTAACCGAAAGGAAATATAAAGGAGACTCTACCATCAGAGAACTTAAAACAAAACTGTCTAGTGTTGAAGAGGTATTGAACTTCGGGTTTGTTCCCCCCACCCCCAATTTAAAATAACATTTTAGTTTGGTGACTTTATTACTTGTGTGCAGGCTGTTTCTCTGCTTTGCAAGGATGTCTTGGTGATAATAGGGTAATCAGACATTGCAAAAAAAAAAAAATTGAGAATCTAAAATCTGATGAAAAGGGATAATTCAAAATAGAACTGAGGTAAACTTGGATATTTTTAGTTAGGGTCTTGAGGAGGAACTCATTGACACAGACTTTAGATTTTTCAGTGTACTTTTAATATCCACACAGTGTATGCATAGCTCAGCATATTCAGTCTTGACAGGACTGGTTCTTTCAACCTACTTAACATGTCAGACAACTATATGAAGTTGTGTCTAATAATAATAATGATATTAGTAATGATAATAGCTAAGGCATACTGAACATATGCTATGTGACAGGTGCTGTTTAACTGCTTTACATATATTGACCCATTTAATTCTTATAACAATTATTTTAAAGAAGGTACTATTATCCCCATTTTGCAGATGATGAAATAAGGCACAGAGATGTTAAGTAACTTGCCCAAGGTCACATAGCCAGTAAGTGGAAGAGCAAGGATTGGAATCCTCTTATTTGCTTGTCTTTAGTACTCCCTTTTTCAGGCAACAGAGACATTTTGAAAATCTTGCTATAGTGACACATTGTTGATTCTTTGGCCCTGATGATAGACTCCTTCCTAACATTATACATTATTGTCATGAATTAATCAGCAAACATAGATTTTGTTAAGTCTGTCATATTTAAATACAAAGATCACCAGTGTTACTCAAGCTTATGAGACTTCCCACTCCATTTCACCAGTCTCTTGTGCTTAGGAAACTCTAAAGCTTGACTGATTTTTATGTTCAGATCCTCAGTATTCTGCCTCAATAGGTGTTTTTAGTACATCCTCCCTGCTCCCTTTACCTTTCATACCAGTTTGTAAAATACTGTAGCCTTCCTAGTACATTGGATAGTCATTATAATGCTATATGACTTCTTTTATCTTAGCCCTGAAATTGGCCACTTTAAAAACAGTGTGCTCCGTTATATCGGTTTTATATAATCTAGTCAAAATATTTCTTGCAAGATTTGCCTAAGACTTTAAAATTATGAGTCCTGGAAACTTTTTAAAAAAATTTTAATTGTAGTATAGTCAACATACAGTGTTATATTAGCTTCAGGCGTCCAATATAGTGTTTTAACACTTCCATACAACACCTGCTGTTCTTGACAAGTGCACTCCTTAATCCCCATCACCTATTTCACCCATCCCCTCTGGTAACCATCAGTTTATTCTTAATAGTTAAGAGTCTGTTTCTTGGCTCTCTTTTTTTTTCCCTTTGCTCATTTGTTTCTTAAATTCCGTGTATGAGTGAAATCATATGGTATTTGTCTTTCTCTGACTGACTTATTTCACTTAGCATTATACTATCTAGCTCCATCCATGTTGTTGCACTGGGAACTTTTTTTTAAACCTCTGAGTATTGTTACCTAATCATGTTAAATTTACCTTTTAGGCATTAGTGCCCTAAAAATAATTGCTGCCATTTTTTATTTACTGTGTGCCAGGCATTATGCTAAGCAATTTGCATTATGGTTTTTATGAAGATTAAGCAAAGTAATTTATGAAGTGTTTGTTATTTCTGTTTTACAAATGAGGGAATGGAGATTTAGGGAGGTTAAATAATTCCTAATATTATACCAAGAACCTAGATTTGTATTCAAGTCTGTCTGATAGCGGGGTCTGTTTCTAAAACCAGTATGGCATAATACTATAAAATTATCTTGTAAAATTTTGTTAAAAATGAAAATTATCTAGGAATACTATATTCTGGACTTGTGTATACTGGCAGTATTTGGTTGGTATTAGCTGATTGGGAAGTAATCTGTCCCAGATTTTTAAAAATCTGTTTTTGATTAACAATTATATTTGCTTGGTTTTGTTTTAAAGAGTGAACCAAGAGGAAATCCAGAAGTGTTAACATATTTGTTGACATGGAAAGATATTTATAATATATAAAGAAGGTTGATTATAAAAGTGCACAGTATGAGCAGTTTTTAAAAAAATCGGTATATATAGATAGAGCAAAATGTTAATTGTGGATCATGGTTGTCACCCTTGGCTACCCTTAGAATCCGCTGCAAAGCTCTTTTTGTTTTGTTTTTTTTTTAAAGATTTTATTTATTTATTTATTTATTTGACAGAGACACAGCGACACACAGAGACAGGAACACAAGGACGTGGAGAGGGAGAGGGAGAAGCAGGCTTCCCGTGGAGCAGGGAGCCCTATGTGGAGCTCGATCCCAGGATCCTGGGATCATGACCTGAGCCAAAGGCAGACGCTTAAGGACTGAGCCACCCAGGCGCCTCTCTATTGCAGAGCTCTTAAACTTCCTAGTGCCCAGGCCATACCTCATACTAACTATAAATAAGATTCTCTTGGGGATGGTACCAGGCATCAGTAGGTTTTTTAAAGCTCCCTAGGTGATTTCAGTATGCATACTAGCTTGAGAACCACTGCTTACATGGTAGAAAGATAGGCCTTTTTATTTATTTTATGTTTTTGAAATTCTATTATAATGGGCATTTACTACCCAAGTGATTTTTTTTTTGAAGTGTAAATTTCGAGATACCAGAAAATCCTTGTTACTAGTTTTTAAAAGTTGTAGTAATTTATTCATAAATCAGGATTATTTTCCCTGTTGTCATTGAATTAGATATTAGTGTATTTTACAATTATATTTCAAGTTTATGAGTTACATACACCTTTAGAGTGTATATCTATATCTTTAAAAAAAAAAATCAGTACTGGAACTTTAAAATTATTGAAGCCTTTTTTAAAATTTTAAACATCTTAATTATAAATAACCAGAGCAGCCAACTTCTCTTTTTCATACTGCATCATTTTTTTTCTTCCTCTAGGAGCTCCAGCGGGCTAAGCAAGAAGTCCTCTCTTTGCGGAGAGAGAATTCTACACTAGATGCCGAATGCCACGAAAAAGAAAAGCATATTAATCAGCTACAAACAAAAGTGGCTGTTTTAGAACAGGAAATCAAGGATAAGGACCAGCTTGTTTTAAGAACAAAAGAAGCATTTGATACAATCCAGGAACAAAAGGTCTATTTAAACATTTTTTTTAAAAAATTGGTGATCATATTTACAAGTGATGCTTTTCTTAAACACAAACATCCTATTAACTATTCATGTTTTAAAAAATATGTATCAGGTTGCTTTAGAAGAGAATGGTGAGAAAAATCAGGTACAACTAGGAAAACTTGAAGCTACGATCCAATCATTATCAGCGGAACTTCTTAAGGTTTGTTTTTAAAAATAATAGAATATTAAGTTTCATTAGGGTAAGAGAGATATACAAATAAAGCTCTTTTACAGGCAAATGAAATTATCAAGAAGTTACAGGGGGATCTGAAAACTTTAATGGGTAAATTAAAACTGAAGAATACAGTAACTATTCAGCAAGAGAAACTCTTGGCTGAGAAGGAAGACAAATTACAAAAGGAACAAAAGGAATTACAAGATGTTGGACAGTCTCTCCGAATTAAAGAGCAAGAGGTAGTGAATATTTTATATTTTTGCGTGTGTGACTATTTGCAAAGTATAACAAATTTTCTCAGATGTATTTTTAAAATTTCTACTTTATTATGTTAGAGAAGAGCTTTCACTTTTCTCCCCCCTAAAAGAACATGACTAGCTGCAACAGAAGCTAACCTATTTCCATTTGAAAAGTTAGTTATCATGACTCAGATACCTTGAGCGTTCATATATATGTACAGTATGTGTATATACATGTATACATACACAGTGTTACATAGATGAGCTATAATTCATTTATTTAATAGTAGTTAATAGTAATTAATTAATAGAAATACATTTAAGTATTTAGCCTTTATTATATTATTATGAGGATTGACATTTCAGGTGTGCAAATTACAAGAACAGTTAGAAGCTACCGTTCAAAAGCTTGAAGAAAGCAAACAACTTCTAAAAAATAATGAAAAGTGTAAGTATTTTACCTTTTTATGTAAATGAGGTTTGCAATTGTGTTCTTAATCTGAAAATTTTATTTGAATTCATAAAAGTTTGGGTAAATCAAGATATTGCTACATCCAAATAATTTCGGTTTTAAATATATGGTCTTCGTGTCTTTGATATAGTAACTTGTGTATCAGCTGCCCTGTAAAACAGTTATCATTATAAAGAAAACCATATTACATGTGTCGGTAACCCAAAATTAAGTGTTGAAAATATTGACAATAGTTTAAATTCTATGCTAATTAAAGTTCTTCACTACTTATTTTAATTTCTGTATTTATCTAATAGTAATAACATGAATTATTTGAAACTAAAATATAAGATTAAGCCTTTAACATTTTCTCAGTTTTTGTATTGGTTATCAGATAAGAGTGTGAACTTCAAATAAACTGTAAGATGTCATTCTAGAAATGAAAGCCTTCAAAGAGATCCTTGACTAGCAGAAATACATGTTTTGTTTTGAAAGATTTTATTTATTTATTTGACAGAAAGACTGCTAGAAAGGGAACACAAGCAGGGGGAGTGGGAGACGGAGAAGCAGGCTTCCCGCAGAGCAGGGGGCCCAATGTGGGGCTCGATCCCAGGATCCCGGGATCATGACCTGAGCCGAAGGCAGATGCTTAATCAACTGAGCCACCCAGGTGCCCCAGAAATATAAGCTTCTGATAGTAATAGCATAAGGAGTTCTATGGCGGTTGTTAAAATAAGAATCTTTAATGACAGAAATTTAGGTGAACCTATATTCTCCTGTGATATAAGGTAGTTTTAAAGACTTAAAATTTTTAAAATGTCAATATAATTTTTAAATGTTTAAAGTTATTAGAAAAATAAAAATAGTCAAAATTCTTTACCTTGTTTTGTTTTATTTAAGTAATCACATGGCTAAATAAAGAACTAAATGAAAATCAGCTAGTGAGAAAGCAAGATGTATTGGGACCTTCTACCACTCCACCTGTACATTCTAGCAGCAACACAATCAGAAGTGGGATTTCTCCTAACTCTAATGTGGTAAGTTTTAAATTAAGATGTGAGTGGTCTGAGTAAATTACCTAAAACCAAAATATTCCCAGACTATGAGGAAGTCTCCATGACTTCAGGTGCTGGTCCTAATATGTCTTGAGTGAGGTAAAGGTTAAGTCCCAGTTAGAAGTGAGACATACAGATATACTTGCTCCTAACAAAGACGCTGTATTTCAAAGGCACACTGCTTCTTAAAATTTAATTGGGTATATATGTTAACTAATAGAATTTAAATAAAAAATTGAAATAAACAAAAATATGAAAAAAATTTAATTGGATATAGAAATCATTCAGTAATAACTAAAGTAATGCCAAATGTGCTGAAGAAGGGAGTATTCTGGGAGCCTTAAGAAGGGAGAACAAAGTTTGTGCTCAAGTTTGGAACTATGATAGAAGGAACCTAAACTGAATTCTATCTGAGAAAGAAAAAAAAGAGAGAGAGAGAAATGTCCTTTTATCAGTCAGCTCTAGATTCTAGAAGGAATTAGTTACGATATCTAAGTTCTCTAGCTCCTAGGACCAGGGCTTTTGCTTTCTCCTCGCAAGAAATTGGGAGAAAATGAAGAGCAGCTCCTTACATATGGGAGCTGGCTTGGTACTATCAGCAAGGCCCTGGTGTTGCTAGGAGAGCTAGCCAGGTACTCATAGCTAGGCTTTGGGGCTCTACTGTTGAACATACGTAATTTCACCGAATATCAACATCAGGCAAGGCCTGTGACTGTGACAGATCAAGAAAAAAATAAGACCACCTCATAATCATTTCTGAACACAATTTTGAAAAAATGAACATTGCCAAACCACAGAACAGGCAAGCATCCTCCTATCCTGGCTAACATGATTGACTGCTCCTTCTTTACCAATTACAGTTTTGGCCTTAATACATTCCTCCCGACTTATCTAATAAGATTTATTTCAGATACTCAGTCATACAATTATCTCCATTTCCAGATAGCATCTGACCCACAACAAAGCCACACTTTATTAAACTGTCTCTTAAACCACCTAACACATATATGTCCAGTAAATAAGTCCCTTTTAACACCTGCATACTGCCCCACCCCTCTTACTAGGTTTCCCACAGTATGCAGTCTGCATTGTTTGCAAGGAGCAATAAACCTGCAGTGTACACCTATAGGTATGTTTCTGGTAGTCTTTGATTGAAGAGCATTGGCAGAGGATTTAAAATGCAAATACCTAATTGAATTTTAAATCTATCCTACTAATTCAGATTGTACTTGATGTTTAAAAAAAGGAATAGATTTTTGCTAAATTACAAAAAGGTGTGGAAAGAAATGCCCAGTACTGAATTACAAACTTGAAAAAATATGACAGGCTTAACCTTCATGACTTAGGATAAATAGCTATGTAGAAGGTGTTTTTTGTCATGCAGCCAGTGATGTATACAATTGCTTCTTAACGTTTGTGTTTCAGTTGTTCTCTTATAAACTCTTTTCATGACATTTGTTAGTGGTGGTGCCACCATATTGAAAATTAGTGGCAAAGCAAATTGTATGAATTAGTTCATTTAAGAACACATATCTTGGGGTGCCTGGGCTCAGTCGTTAAGCATCTCCTTTGGCTTGGGTCATGATCCCAGGGTCCTGGTATCAAGCCCCCCGTCAGGATCCCTGCTCGGTGGGAAGCCTGCTTCTCCTTCTCCCACTCCCCCTACTTGTGTTCCTGCTCTCACTGTCTCTCTCTCTGTCAAATAAATAAATAAAATCTTTTTTTTTTTTAAGATTTATTTATTTGACAGACGCAGCAAGAGAGGGAACACAAGCAGGGGGAGTGGGAGAGGGAAAAGCAGGCCTCCCACCGAGCAGGGAACCTGACGCGGTGCTTGATCCCAGGACCCTGGGATCATGACCAGAGCTGAAGGCAGACGCTTAATGACTGAGCCACCCAGGCGCCCCTAAATAAATAAAATCTTAAAAAAAAATGAAACAAAAAAATATATATCTTGTTCTCATTCTGGCAGAAAATTATTTTTATATCTGATTGGTTTATCGATCTATGACTCCATCCTCCCCGAGCCCCCTTTTCAGGAATGGAAGACATACGTATAGGGAACGAAGATGGTTCAAAGAGGTCATTGTTTAAACTCAGTTCAAAGACAAGTCCAGTGGCTTATTAAGCTTGCACAGCCACTCTTTAGAAAGCTTAAAGTTATCCTAGGCTCATGCTATTATAATAAAGCAGAGTTTTGTGGTGTATGATAAAATTGGCCTCTAAGATAGTGCTTTTAAGTATTATAACAGATCCTAGTGCCTCATGGATCAGTAAATACTATTTAGAATTAATATCTCATCCTTAACCTTTTTATGTTTTCATTTTTAGGTTGATGGTAGACTGACTTACCCAACTTGTGGGATTGGTTATCCTGTCTCCTCTGCATTTGCATTCCAGAATACCTTTCCTCATCCTATATCTACCAAAAATACCATCCACCCAATTTCAGGACCAAAGGTAGACAAATTAACTGATACTTTTTTGGGGGAAAATGTAGCAACTTATTAACAACAAATATTTTTTTGTTTTAAATCTTAGTCTTTAGTCAGTTGCTAAGTATTAGGTAATAGATAAATATATTACCAAGTATCTAGTTTATGCTTATAGGAAATTCTTTCTGTACTATATGGTATTTCTTGAGTCAGTATAATTTATAAAAAGCTGGACATCAGTCTGCTTAAATTTTATTTATTCCCATTCAACCTCTTATTCCATTTTTATTCATTCTCTATTACAACTCTCAAACCTGACTAGCATTACTGACTTCATACTGCTGATGTATTAGCTCTGGTGACATTTTTGGATTCTATTGCCAAGATTTAAAGGTCTGATAAGGCAGACTTATAGCATATTCTAAAATGTAGTTTTGGCGATATTATCTTAAATAGCATAGGCCTAGCATTTCATCCAATGTGATTTATTTGCTAAGGCTTTTTTTTACCCCCTTGAGTTCATCATCATTCTTATTACTAATGTCTTAGGGGTATATATTGTTTTTACATGTATTATAATTTTACTTTCACAATAATTTCATCCACCCAGACTAGCCACTGATTCTATTTTCATTCCTAATTTTAGGTGAAAATTGATTTTTTGGGGGTGCCTGGGTGGCTCAGTCAGTTAAGCGTCTGCCTTCAGTTCAGGTCATGGTTCCAGGGTCCTGGGATTGAGTCCTGCATTGGGCTCCCTGCTCAGTGGGGAGTCTGCTTCTCCCTCTCCCCCGCCCATCCCCTGCTTGTGCTTTCTCTCACTATCTCTCTATTTCTCTCTCAAATAAATAAATAAAATCTTTTAAAAAAAAAATTGATTTTTTGGTAAATCATAGAGACAAGTAAATGTTTTTGAAAAGAATTTTTTTTTAAGATTTATTTTAGAGCGAGAACATGCACACGAGGAGACGAGGGGCAGAGGGAGAGGGAGAGAATCTGACTGCCCCCTGAGTGTGGAGCCTGACGTGGGGCTCAGTCCCACGACCCTGAGATCATGACCTGAGCTGAAATCAAGAATCAGATGCTTAGCTGACTCAGGCACCCAGGTGTCCCTGAAAAGAATATTTTGAACTGAGGACTTTGAAATTGCTATTATAAACCCTTTATCAAATTAGTTTTGGGCTTCCTGAAAAATAAGCTGGCTGTGTTGCTTAGGCCTATGCTTCTTAACTTTTTAAGCCTTTTTAACTATCATCTGAAGCTATTGATTATTCTCAGTGAAATGAGTTTTTATGCTTAGACTATCATTATGTAAAGAGTATTTAGGTGCATTTAGCAGGCTTGAATTGTTAAAGAGCATTAGATATGTATATTCACAGGAGTACTATTTTTTTTTTTTACAATGTTACCTAACTCTTGTACTGTTAATTTTATTTGTCCATATTTTATTTTAAAGTTTAAATTCCAGTATAATTAACATACAGTATTATATTTCAGGTATACAATGTAGTGATTCAACAGTTATATATATTATTCAGTGTTCATCAAGATAAGTGTACACTTAATACCCTTCACTGATTTCACCCATTCCCTCACCCACCTCCCCTCTGGTAACCGTCATTTGGTCTTCTATAGTTTGTTTCTTGGTTTGTCTCTCTTTTTTTTTCCCTTTGTTTGTTTTGTTTCTTAAATTACACATGTGAGTGAAATCATGTGGTATTTGTTTTTCTTTGACTTATTTCACATACTGTTATACCCTTACTTTCATCCATGTTGTTGCAAATGGCAACGTTTGCATTTTTTTTATGGCTGGGCAATATTACATTGTATATATATACCACGTCTTCTTGATCCGTCCATTTATCAGTGGACACTTGGGCTGCTTCCAGAATTTGGCTATTGTAAATAATGCTGCTATAAATGGGGGGTATATATATCTTTTCAAATTAGTGTTTTCTTATTCTTTGGGTAAATACCCAGTAGTGAAATTACTGGATCATATGGTATTCTATTTTTAATATTTTGAGCAACCTCCATATTTTTACACAGTGGTTGCCTCAGTTTGCATTCGCACCAGCTGTGTGTGAGGGGTCCTTTTTCTCCACATCCTTGCCAACACTTCTTTCTTGAATACTATGTTCCTTAATATCAATATCAGTATACTCAAATGTGATTTCATCTTGGGATCAATTTTTTTGAGAAGTTTGATTGAATTGCTTTTTCATTTTATTTTATTTTTAAGTTTTTATTTTAATTCCAGTTAATGTGCAGTATTATTAATTTTAGGTATAAAATATAATTTAGCAGTTCTATACATCACCTGGTGCTCATCACAAGTGCACGCCTTAATCCCCATCAACTATTTAACCCATCTCCCCACCTCCCTCCCCTCTGGTAACTCTCAGATTGTTCTCTACAATTAAAAGTCTGTTTCTTACTTTGACACACACTTTGATTTTTTTCTTTGCTTGTTCTGTTTCTTAAATTCCACTTATGAGTGAAATCATATGGTATTTGTCTTTCTCTGTCTGACATATATTTCACTTAGCATATTTTCTAGCTCCATCATGTTGTTGCAGATGGCAAGATTTCATTCTTTTTATGGCTGAATACTATTCCATTGTGATATATACCACATCTTTTTCCATTCGTCAACTCATGGATACTTGGACTGTTTCCCTATCTTGACTATTATAAATAATGCTGCTATAAACATAGGGATGCATGTATTCCTTTGAATTAGTGTTTTTGTATTTATTGGGTAAATATCCAGTAGTACAATTGCTGGATCATAAGGTAGTTTTTTTTTAACTTTTTGAGGAAACTCCACACTGTTTTTCAAATTGGTTTTTTTTTTTATTTCAAACATCTTTCCAGGAATATATATAATGTCCAAAGTGAGGACAAGAAATACTACACATACTTTCCAGATAGTTGCCTCATTTATAGGTCTAAATATGACTTAAAAGATTACCTTTATAGTTCTTCAAGAATTGGAGGAATCATTATAGCAAGGATGTTCCTAAACATAGGAAGACTTTCAGGGTTTCCTATATCACTGATCTCCATATCCTTTTGATTATGTAGCCCCCAAAATTAAAAAAACAAAACATAAAACAAATAAAACACGTTGAGCTTGAATCTCTAATGAATATTTATTTGTGAATTGTATGCATATACTATTCAACTGCTGTATTATATACAGTATAGTTTAGCTGTTAAGAAGGTGGAAACTGATGTTGGAATTTAAATGCTGCCTTTATCGAGGTGAATTGGGCCAGCCACTGAAACACAAACAAAAAAAGAAACCTCTAACTCTCATGCTTCAGTGCCTCCACTTGTAAAATGAAGCGTAATTTTATCTACCTTACTGGATTATTGTGAGGGTTAGGTGAGTTAATACATTTGCTTAGAATAGTGCCTGGTTTGTGATACGTGCTTCATTATGTTATCTATTAATATTAATAAAATATTCAAATATATAAATTAAAGAGTAAAGTGAAAATGTGTGTAAATATAAGATTTTCTTCTCCTACCTCAGTGTATGGTCATAATCACTGCCTACTTTGGAGACCACTGATCTAGATAGTCTTCTGCTAGCAGCTGTTGTGATTAAAACAGGCTCTTTTAGGGGCACCTGGGTGGCTCAGTCGTTAAGCATCTGACTTTGGCTCAGGTCATGATCCCAGGGTTCTGGGATCAAGCCCCGCATCGTTCTCCCTGCTCTGCGGGGAGTCTGCTTCTCCCTCTCCCACTCCCCCTGCTTGTGTTCCCTCTCTCACTCTGTTTCTGTGTCAAATAAATAAATAAAATCTTTTAAATAAATAAATAAAACAGGCTCTTTTTAGTTGAAATAAAAATAAAATCATTTTATTTCATGATACTGAATCTGTGATATACCCGATGTCTTCAAATGTTACTGTTAAGATTTAGTACATTCAAGTAGATGTTTAACTGTGAGGATGTAAAATTACCTGAGCTAAATTAAGCAAGAAACAAAATCATGCTGAAGGATATACAAAGGAGTATTTTGAAAGATTGTGCCATGCTATCAAGTAGAACAATTTATAATTTTAAAGCAAGATAGACAAAATAATTTCTCCTTTATTTGTGAAGACAGTAATAGCCAAGGATTCATTCATTCAATAAATATTTAATTGCAGTAGACACAGTAGTGAGCAAGACAAAGTCCTTGCCGATGTGGTGCTTATGTTTTGTGGCGAAAACCCCATTATGATTGCAAATTATAGTATCTTTTACTAAACTGTTATCAAAAAGAGGTTACTTGATGTCAAAGAAAATTCTTAGGATAAAATCACTGAAACAGTTTAATTTTTTTGAGAGAGAGAGACTTTGTGCCCGTGAGTGGGAGGGGGAGGGGTGGAGGGAGAGACAGAGAGAGAGATAATCTTACGCAGGCTTCATGTCAGCACCAGCCCAACCTGGGGGCTTGATCTCACAACCCCAAGATCATGACCTGAGCTGAAATCAAAGAGTTGGCCACTTAACCGATTGAGCCTCCAAGACACCCCTCGCTGAAACATTTTAGAGTGATCAGATTTCATCCTGGAGATTATGATGTGAGGGATTTCTGTAATGAGAAAGTAGCTATCTAAGATCAGATGATCTTGATAATGTTTAGCCCACATTGTATATTCAGAGATATATTTTATCTAGAGATAGCATTCCTCAGTTTGATTAACCACTTCGTTCACCAGATGGTTCTAAATTAATTTTTGCTTATTTTGTATTAACTATTTTAAAAAATAATATATGAACATGGGAAGCTCCCAAATGTACAAGAGGATATACTGTCTAAATGTCCCTCCTGTGGTCCCTAGTTGTCTTCTCAGAGAAGATCACTGTTAGTTTCTTTTGATATATTCCAAAAATATTTAAAGTGTATACAGGGATGTATATATGTGTGTACTTCTGTATGTATATTTGTATACATAAGGGTTTATGTATTTAAGCATAAATAGTACATGCCTAGTGTTCTGTGCCTTATTTCATTCAACAGTATTATGG